GCGTGTAGTTTGCTACATATAAAATTAGTTGATTTTGTTCTTCAATTCGTTTAATTATCCTGTTTCTTTCTTCTGCTCTTTTTGTCACTAATACTGAAAGCTTGTTTACCTTAGACCGTGCACGCTTATCTACTAGGGAACATCCTGGAGAATCTTTATCCTAGGGTGGTAAAACGCCCAAATCTCCATCAACGACCATATCTTCTTTGACATTGTCTTCCTCGCTCTGTGGTTTGATGTTGCAAGTTGAACTAATGAAAATATTTATTATTATTATTATTATTATTAATATTATTAGGTATATGTTTTTGGTAAATTAAAAAAAAAAGTTTATATAGGTACCTCCGTTCGTTTTCAATCGTATTTAGAAAACATTCACGATCTGCTGAAGGTAAACATTTTTTTGCTGAACTTGCAGACCCGGTGCTGAGTTTTCTTTTGCAGCGATTGTGTGAATCCTATATATACTTCTATTTTTTTTTTTGCAGTCGAAAATTAAATAGTAAAAATTCTACATAATAATTATTGATATAAAAATGATCTACTTTTCCTAAACATTGCAAATCAATAATAGCCACATGTATAGAGATACAGGTATATAGATATATAATATTATTATAATTGATAATAATATAATATATGTATACATACAATCCAAATTATAATATTGTGATTCATTTAAATATTAAGTTTAGTGAGTACGTACATATTATAGACATAATATGGTAAATATATAATTGTTATCAACGATAAACAATGTCGTGATTTGGAGAAAAAATAAATACCAACACTAGTCTAAAAATAAACAAAAATAAAAACTAATTTTATTATCAATTTTAGGATTTTGTACGATAATAATATGGGCCTGTAGTATGTAAACTTTTATCAGCATTAATTTTTATTGGTTATACAGTAATAACATGGATTATTATTATTATTCAGATTGTTCTTTGTGCACGTTAATAAATTAACTAATTAGAAACACTTTTCATTTCTTATGATTGACAAAAAATTTTATCAACGCCATTGTATTAAATTAATCTTATTACTAGATTATATATTATATTATAGATAATTATTACATACCAGATTTCCCTATAGTGTTGGCAATATCCAACCAAATACTATTTTTATGTTTTGCATCTTTATATTTGTTGTGAAACAGATCAAACAACATTTTTTCAAACCATTTCGATCAGCTGCTCTTCTTTTTCTCCCAAAAAATGCAATTTAGCCATATTGATGCACGGGACAGTCGAAATTCACTACCCAAGAGTAGGTTTGTGATTGAAATAAATCAATGGTTGTGCGAGACAGTCGCAATAAACTGCTCTCGGACCGGTAGTGTCGCCGGTCGCCACGACAACAATCGCGCGTTGTAAACCAGTCACTAGGAATTACATACTAACAGTCGGCGACTGTTGCGGTGACCAGTCGCGCCTTGGAAACCGTAGCTTTAGTAGTGAAAAAAGGCGAACTGACTAATGTCGGAACCACCTTAAAGATCGAACAATACATAACGAAGATTTTATGGCTGTTCATTTGAATAACGAAAACATAAAATTTGATAAACCTTAGCTATATTAGATATTTCTAAAACATTAATGTATGATTTCCATTACATCATGAAAAAGATATACGGTAATCATCTGACTACAGTGTATTATGATACAGATTCACTAGTATACGAAATTAGAACAGTTAACTTTTTTTATGATTTAAAAACCCATTTATTACCATATTTTAACACATCCAATTACCTAAAAAATCATTATTATTTTGATGATGGTAGGAAAAACCAACAGGAGGTTTTTTAAAGATAAAATGAAAAGTAAGATTTTAACCGAATTTCTCGCATTACGCAGGGCCGGATTTACCTACAAGCAAAATAAGCATTGCTTACGGCCATCGAAAAAATTCGGCCCGTAAAATGTCTAGTTTTTAAAAATTAATTATATTACTAGCCAACCTGGCAAACGTTGTTTTCCAATATAAAATAAATTATCAAATAAATCCAAACGTTAGTTCTCATTATCTTCTTACAACAATTATATGAAAAAATTGCATTAAAATCGGTCGAGCCGTTTCGGAGAAACACGTGTTTCGATGGAAAGCCCCGCAGATAATGAAACGCAGTGCCATCAGCTATGGGACGTCAATAACTCATATAAAAATAGGAATTACTAATAATTAAATAATAATAAAAATATTGGGACTTTCTTATCTGTATACCGTACATTATATTATTATAACATGATATCTTTGTACTTGTCATCCGAACGATCATTTGACGGCGGCGAGAATCACAGTCATTTAATAAATATTTATAGTGAATGATGAAATGTTCGTTTATCTATAGAACACGTCTTGTGTAGTTGTGTTTTAGTATTTAAAAAGTTTTTATAGTGTGGTTTCATGTAAATATATTTTTTTGAACAACCGAGAAAAATGTCAAAACCAAAAGGAGGTTGGGAAAAGTTAAAAGAAACTCAAAAGAAAAAGAAGAATGAAGCAGACTTTCTAAAAAAGTAAATCCTCTTACATCGTATATTATACCTAAATATACTAACAGTGAAAATACCATTAATAAAGAAGATAATATTATAAATACGAGTACATCNTCTTTCAAAATATAAATGCTGACTTTTCCTTAACAAAAAAATATTATGAAAATCCTAAGGTAAATCGTTGTTTGAACAAAACTGCATTTTTCTATACAAAGCCGAATGGTGATTGTTGTAATAGAGAATGGTTACTTTATTCGCCGACTAAAAAAATGGTTTATTTTTATTATTGTATTCTCTTTTCTAAAAATAACATAATGTGTGATGGGTATGATGATTGGCGAAATATTCAAAAATTTCTTGAAAACCATGCGAAAAAAGAATATCATGTCTTGGCAATTAGTATGTACCTAAATAGAACGAAACTATCGGGTAGAATAGATAGTGAATTAGAAAAACAGTTAACCGAAACACGTGACTATTGGAAAAACGTGTTAAGACGCATAATTGAAACAATATTATTTTTATCGGGACGTGGTTTACCATTTCGAGGTTCGGACGAACACTTCGGGTCAAATCATAATGGAAATTATCTTGGAATATTGGAGCTTCTTTCAAAATTTGACCCATTTTTAGCCCAACATATCGCTGTACACGGAAATCAAGGAAAAGGACACACATCTTATTTGTCCAAAACTATTTGTAACGAATTTATTGCACTTACTGCAAACAAAACTCGTGCAATGATTATAGATCAATTAAAAAAAAGCCTGTTATTTTTCAATAAGCGTTGATTCTACTCCTGATATAACCCATATGGATCAACTTACTATTATTTTGAGATACTAAATAGATACTAAAATATTTTAGATACCTACATTAATAATAGATTAGATACATCTAATATAGCAACATGAATTTCTTTCAATCGGAAAATCATTTTGTATATTTAAAAACGATCAGCATACTTGTACTCCGTGTTGAAGAAGATAAAAGAGTTATTATGAACGATGGTATCAATACGTTAGCGTATGGTCATTATAGCGAATCAGCATTTACACAATAGTTAGGCTAGAATTTTTCAATATTATTGTAAATATAAACGGGATGCAAACCATTTAAAACTTGATTTTGTCATGAGAAACATCGAAGTTGTTAGATTAAAAATAATTTGCTTTTTTCGTGACAAATGTCGAATCTACAATTGCGAAGAAGCTTGTTGCTATTATGACATACGTTGAAACTAATTTTTCTGTAAAAAAAATTGTTTTGTTATTAACAGGTTCGACGTTTTTCACGACAAAAACAAATTATGTTTGACGTATGCCATGATAAAATAAAGTTTTAATTGGATTGTATCCCTTATACATACATTTGAAATAATTTTTTTATTTACATATTTATCTTTACAAATTGTATTACAATATATATCAATTGTACAATAATAAGCAGAAATTATTTTTCGACATCATTTTTTTCAATCCATGCATTGTGACTGCTATCGAAACCAAACCATTCGACGTACATTTTATTCTTGTTCCTTTTCAAAATACTTTTGATAAGAAAGATGTTCAGGAAATTTGTTTTTGTAATTTCTTGTTCGTAAAAACATCCTAAAATTGTATTATTTAGGCTGTCTTTTAGTTGATAAGTTACTGGATTTGTATTTAAAACCTTTGTTATTGTAAATACTTCTGTAGTCCAATTCGGTGTATACCCTTAACTAAATGCATGCTTATATTTAGATATTCTAACTTTATCATTAACATTTAATGTAAGTTTTCTTATTTTCATATTGTTTAACTTAAATGGTAGTTTATGTTTTTTTCTAGCTTCATCAGGTGTACATTTAATCATAAAATTTTAGTATTATTATAATTAGTTATAAATTTGGTTATTGAATTGTACCAATTCCGTGTTCCTGTCAATGTAAAATTTGTATATATTTTATTTTTAATTGTTCTTATAACAATATAACTTATATATTTGTTCATGAGATCTTGAAACGATTTATTGTAGACCTCCGTTCCATTATCTGTTTGTAATAATTTTGGTTGATTTGTTTTTAATATATTTAAAGAAATTGTTTTCTTTACTTCTATGCTGCTTTTATTTTTTAATGATTGTGTCAATAAGTATTTAGTATATATGTATATCACAATTAATTTATATTTAAATTCACTGTTTTTCCTAGAATAGTATTACATATCTATTAGATCAGCCTGCTAAAGATTATCCTTGAAAAGAGATATTACATTCCGTCAAGGAAATATGTACCTTGCCGATTGGTGTAGCTCATTTGCTATATTGCTTAACGTTACCATGTTATTAAAAATATAATTATGTCTACTACTTTATAAGGTTTCTTTCATATAGTTTTTCTAAGATTGATATGATCTCATTATTTACACCTGTATTACCTGTAAAACACCTTTTTTGATACTCATCACTTTATATTTCGTTTTGTTTTATTAGCTTCTTCAATAATTCTTTAGCTTCATCCATTTCCACATAATGAAATGAAATAATGGATGTACATTATATTTATAGCGTTGTGATTCACTATTCCGAGATTATAAATGAATGAAAACCGCATTTATATTTACTTCTCTTCATTTCTCGTGTTTATCGATAACTAAAAACCCAATAGAATAGTCGAAATATGTTTACCAGTATACTTTTGCAAAAATGTATTAAAAGTTGTATTATGCAATTTCCATAAAGGGATATCAAAATCTAAAAATGCACGATATAAATCGAGCGAAAATTCTGAGTTCTGATCTTTAAATGAGTCTTTAATAAATATTTGTTTCATTTTTCTTTTATTGTTGAATTACTGAGGTGTGTTGCTGTACTTAAATGCTGAGTTACTTGAAAGCGCTTATTTGATGAGACTACCTGGTCACAAATATTACAAAATAGTGTTTTACCATCGGTTTTAAAACCTGTACTAGAAAACTCTTCGACATACTGTTTATATTACATATAAGTGGATTTGCAAGAAAAAGTCTAGTCCGATGATTTCGATGATATTGTTTCGTAGTCCTATGACACCTTTAACAAATATGGGTGGGGGTAGAATATTCTTTGGTGTATTATGGGTGGTATCCAGTTGCTCCTGGTTCGGGTCAGTGAATACGTCATCAACATTAGATTGACGGATAAGATAGAGTAGCGGTTTGGTGTGACAAATAGTTTTGCTTTCTTTATATTTAAGATGGGCGGCGATAGTGGTGTAGAGGAGGAAGACGATAAGACGCGTTTATTTTCGAGTCGAGGTTTTTTTTGTTTACCTTATTATCGTTGTTGATAACTTGGTTGCGTACAATTTTAATTGGCGGTATTGTACTATCGGAGGTAATTTGATTAGATGACATTGCGCCTATATATCATATCTACAGACCAAAGGTCACCGTGAATTCAAAAATTCACGAGGCGTTCAAAACGGAAAAGCCGTAAGACAAATAAATGGCTCGAACGAAATATCCATAAAGATGTGTCCACACCTAACAAACGTTTGCTGAACATTTGTCAAACATTTTATCATGACAACAAATGTTTATTCATATTTTATTTGTTCGCTATATGTTTGCCAACAGTCGTAAAAATGTAAGATCCAGAATTAGTCGCATGCTGCATTGGTGCTACTGCGTTTGTTATAATGCGTAATAAAACATAAAAAAAATAAAATAAAAAACAAAAAAAGGTGGTGGGAAAGAACACTTTTTCAGCGAAGAAAGACTTACAGTGGTGAAAATTTAATTTTAGATTTACATGACGGTGATTTATTTAGTAATTTTACCAGAATGTTTAAGAGTGATTTTGAATTTTGAATTAATTTAATTGGTCCAATAGTCATAAAAAAAAAACACAAATTTTCGTGAAAATATTTCTGTGTCCGTGTGTTTAACAATAACTTTACGATTTTTATCTATTGGTGATTCATATCATTCATTAATGTATAAGTTCAAAATATCATAACAGTCAATATTACAGATTGTACCTGAAGTATGCGAAGCATTATTAACTGGCCTTCACACTTATATAAAGGTATTAAAATAATATATATAAATAATATACTAAATATTATTCTACTTTACTTAATTAGATGCCATCAGATACAAATAGTTGGTTGAAAGTTGCTCTCGATTTCGAAGGAACATGGAACTTTCTTACTTTAGTATAGTATAAATGGCACTTGTTGGCGCCAACTACTCGTTCATATACGTAAATGTTGGCTGTCAGGGACGTATTTCCGATGGTTGTATGTTCAAAAACACTGACTTATGGAAAAGTTTGGTAAATAAATCACTAAATCTACCTCAACCTATAAATTTACCTAGTAAAGATATTCCTATACCATACATTATTGTGGCTGATGATGCATTTGGGTTCAGTGAGAATATACTAAAACCATATCCAGGACACCATATGAAAGTAAGTAAAGAAAGAATTTTTAATTATCGATTAAGCTGAGCACGCAGAGTATCTGATAATGCTTTTAGCATTATGAGTTCTACATTTAGAGTACTTAGAAAACCCATATTACTAAGTCCACATAAATCAACGTTAGTTACCCTTGCATGTGTTTATTTGCATTATTTTCTTCGGGCTAGTAAAATATCTAAAAACTGTTATGTTCCACATGGAAGTTTTGACATTAATAATGAATCAGGGGAAATTATACCAGGAACATGGAGAACAAATTCAGAAATTACATCATGTTTACCTTTCTCACGTATTGGATGCAAATCGGGAGAAAACCCAAAAGCTATAAGAGACGAACTTGCGACATATTTTACAAGTGAACATGGAAGTATTCCTTGACAAGATGAATACGCCTAATTATAAAAATTAAATGTATGAGATAGTTTTTTAAATAACATATTTGCAATTGATTAATTGATCACTTTATTTATTTATTAAATTAATTTTCCTTTTAATAATATTTTAGTGACAAAGTAATATTGTTAAATAAATCGCTAGCTTGCACATGAATTATAACAATATAGCTATCACATAGAAAAATGAATATAAATATAACTTATTAAAATGAAACTACATACTTTAATAAAATTGTATGTAATCTTGCATATTGAAGTTTTGTTGTTGTGGAGATTTTCTTGCCTGTTGTGTAACTGGAGTGGTCTGTGATTGTGGTGATGGTATATACAGCTCTAATGGCTGAGGTAACTAAAATATATAATAGATTAATAGATAGGTAAATTTATTTTTAACACAGTAAAAGATTTAATAATAATAAGTTAAAAGTTATAATTGCACAACAAGTTCCTCAAGCCATTTCGCTGCGGCCGGGCCACACTCGTGCAGTTTTACCAGCCCATCTTCAAACTTTGTGAAAGGGCAAATTAGGTAAATTAGGTAGTCTGTTAATTTTTTCTATAATTTTTTTTGTATGGGTTAGTCTCCTAAGATCTGGAGGGGATATATTGGATAGTTTGGACAAACATTCTGTTTGAGTTGACCTGACAGTGCCTGAAATAATGCGCATAGTGTGGTTTAGTTGTGTGTCAACTTTTCTACAATGGGCGCTTCTAGCCCACACAGGTGCGCAATATTCGGCGACACTGTACACCAAGGCAAGTGCTGTAGTTCGTAGTACACTGGTGTGACATCCCCAGCTAGACATACCCGCTAACTTAGCCATAATATTATTGCGTGTCTTCAGTTTATTTTTGACGCCTTCTAAGTGTTGGTTATACGTTAGGGTTCTATCGAACTTTACCCTTAGGTACTTAGGGCATTCTTCAGAGGCGATGTTTTGTCTGTCTATTTCTATGTGTAGTTCTCTGTTTGCCTCCCTATTGTTGAGGTGATAGGCTCTTGTCACAGACTTACTCGGGTTCAGTGTTAATTTCCACTTTTAGAAATATTTTTGTATTTTTATTAGATCATCATTCAAAGTATGATCTAATGCTGCAAATGTCTTAGCTTGTACTACTAGCGCCACATCATCCGCATATATGAATTTTCTAGAAACAGTATCGGTGATGTCAGCCATATACGCATTAAAGAGGGTTGGAGACAGCACGGATCCTTGCGGGAGCCCATTCTGGAGGAATTTGTACCCGCGTACCTTACCGTTAAGTGATACACGGATTTTCCTGTTTGATAGTAGATTTTCCAGTACTCTGATCATCGTTCTACACTTTTTTATTTTAGTCAGTTTCAATAGTAACCCTTTCTTCCATGGTGTCGTACGCTGATGAGAGGTCTAGGAAGACTGCGCNGCCATTTTCTATATGCGTTGATAGTGTGAGGGTTTGATCACAACAATTTCTATTATACCTAAAACCAGCTTGTTCTATTGGTAGTGATGCTTCCACTAAAGATTGTAATCGTGATAGAATCAATCTTTCAAAAAATGTATAAGTCGTTGACAGCAGGGATATTGGTCGGTAGTTGCTAGGGTTGGTAGCTTCTTTATTTGGTTTTAGGATAGCTATCACTTTCGTTTCTCGCCATATTTTTGGGAGAGTATTCGTATTTACTATTTTATTGACCAGTTTTGCTATCCAGCTGATGCTCCGGGGTCCAAGATTTTTAAGAAACTTTGGCAGGATTTCGTCTGTTCCAGCTGCTTTTTCGTTTCTTACATTTTTTTAGAGCGTTATAGACCTCTGCATCAGAAAAGTCTGACATGAGTGCTGACTTATCTTCGCACTTCCTTAGCTCCTCTACGAGTTTTCTTCTTACTTCTGATTTATCAGTTTTTTGCAGTTTGATATTTGAAGTTTTGAAGAGAGTGTTCGCGATATCATTTGCTGCGACACATCCAGCTTTCTTTGAGAGCTGTGCAGCGCCAAGCTTTCGTAATAGAGACCAGCTTTTCCTGCTTGAGTGTGTGTAGTCCATTTCTTCCATTGCTACTAACCATCTATTTCTTCTCTCTTCATCTAGTAGTGACATTAACGGATTTGCTGTTACCTCACTTCCAGATTGATCATATTCGTGTAATAGTGAGTCGCACTCTTTGCTCCAGCATGGTATGTAGTTCTGTCTATGTCTTCTAGGTATCGCTAAGACAGCTGCTTTTTTAATAAGTTTTACAAATTTTGAGTAGTTTTTGGAGTGGGAGGGATGCGGTTTATATTCTTTTCCATGTAATTGGTGAAATCCACCTCTCGCCTTTTGAAGGTTCCACCTAGGCATTTCGGGGTTATTGATTTTTGGAAAATTGACGCCTATAACCACTGGCTTATGTTGGCTTTTGGTGAATTTAGGTAGGATTTGTCCTGAGACTCTTAAAGGTTGGTTATCATTGTCTCTTGTTACAAAACAAAGGTCAGGTGAGGTAGTTGTCCCCCATAGTCCTGATTCGAAAAGTACCCTGCTTAGCGTCATATACCAGATGTAGACGAGCGCTGCCCAATGAGAGAGTGTTGCGCCATCCATGTTCTCACTTCGGTAACCCCACTCAGTGCTCTGTGAATTAAAGTCACCAATATAAATTGTAGTGTTTTGTTTGACTGGGAGTACTGAGTTGTACCACCTTTTTGATGGAGGTTTGTATACATTGTAAGGTTTCCTACAGATATTCCAATCAAGTGTTCATTTCCGGTGTCGGGGTTTATATGTTATTCTTTAATGTTCTGATTTACGTAGGTTGCCATTCCATGCTTGGCGTGGCCTTTATAGTCGACCATATTGAAGCCAGGCACCCTCAGGCGACTGGTCTTGTCACTTGGTACGTGAGTCTCTAGGATTGCCAGTACATTTGCATCCTTAAACATTTTGCCTAAAATATCAGACTTTGCCCTTGTCAGGCCTTCCACATTCAGTTGCACTAATCTGATTGTTCTTTGAGATTCTTTGTTGTGTTTGTGATCTTTGTTGACTGGATAAGGTTTAAAGATTTAATTTTTTTTTGTTTTTTTAATTTTTTTGTAAGGGATTTTGTTGTTTTTACTCTTTGTGTAACTGCTACGCATGTCAGGGTAGCCCTGAAAAGGGCTGTTTAAGCCGATAGAGCCAGGAGGTCCTAAGACTTGGCTGTCAGTTTGATGTCGTTTCGTTTCATGCCATTATCACATACAACTGCAGAACTGTTCCAAAATTTTTATATTTTATGTAATATTAGCACTACTCACCTTTTGCCTTGATCTGCTTCTTCCCATCTACCCTGTACAAATAAGATTTTACGCACATCGCACAAAACTCAGTTATCTTCTCATCCATCTCCTCTGAGAAAAGACCCGTCACCTTCTTTCTCTCTGCGACGTAACATAGGTGGTCTCTAGGTAGGTTGGTCGTGTCCATGCATTCCAACAGCCCAGGTTTTTTCAATAGGTCCGCGTAAAAATCTTTTGTCTCAATATAATACATCAACGAATCTGTAAAACAATATAATACGTATAAGAAAAAAAAAAAAATTTAGCTGTATCGGTATATAGTAAGTTGATGGTGCCTTTGAAATCCTTTCTCATAAAATTATAATGATAGTCCTACATTTTGGTCTTAGAGATGTCCAGCACAACAAATCCTATAAACATATGAATAAAAACATTATAATTATATCATTAATTTAAGACTTTAAATGTTGTACATTAGGGTGGTTCTTATTTTTCGCTTGTGATTTTTTTCAGGTTACCCCCCCTAAAAAAGTTTGATTACTAAAAAACACTACAAAAAAAGTTTCAGGCAAATTCATTAATATTAAACCGTGCCACAACAGCTCTAAATTTACAAAAATAGAAAATTTTCAATATTATCAACTTTTTAAATTTTTTTTTAATATAACTCCAGGAAAAAATACTTACAAAAAATGTGTTAAAATATAAATGATAGAACACTACATTTTCTACAATTTGTTTCATATATAATATTTTGCAAATATATTATTTTTTTAAATATTTTAATTACAAGGTAAAAAAAAAAATAATCTTAAACATTTTAATATTTAAGGCAACTTAAAATACAACTAATAATTATTTATAATAACAATTTACAATTACAATAACATTGTTACCTAATTATTTTATCTGTAATATATTTTAAATATAAATGATAAATCCAAATTATTGTGATAGTGCAGTAAGTGTTTCTTTTTTGTGGTCAGGATATTTTTTGCGGTAATCACTAACAACTTGTAGAAGGTATTGTTTTTGAGATTCGTTTTTGGTAATTTTGTCATTATAGTCCTCTATAAGTTTTACACCTCTTTCTGCTACATCGTTTATTACTGGAATATTTTTTATAACTAACAAAGTTTTAGAATAGTCTTCATTATTTTCCCAATTAATTGGATCTTCGTTCAAAAAAATAGTGTTGATGGAAAATCTTTTAAATAGTGTTTTAGTATTAACACATATAAAATCATCGATTTCCTTTTCTAATAACTCATTTGCATTTTTTGGCAATGTAGTTAAACGTTGTGCATTTGAAATTAATTCTGATGAACTTTTGTCGTTGTTTAGAGCATGAACCATTTTTCTTTTTATCTCCAGTGGCACAGCTTCATCGAAAAAAGCAAAAGCACATAATTCTGCAGATAAATACCATAAGTGACCACAAAACTTATTAACTGCAATCTGAGATATATCTTTGTCTATAGAGGTATAATGTAAAAGACTTTTTATAAAATTCAAGTCTTGTAATGGTGCATTGATTGAAGATGGTGAGTTGAACCATACTTTTATGTATAATCGTACAATAAAAACGCAAATACTTCTCAAAGCACTTTCTTCTTTTGGTGTTAAATGAAATTGTTCGCGAAATAAATATATTTTCAAGCTATAAATAGCTTTGGCCATCCACCGCGCGTGATGAATGGCACCTGGCATTTTAAATCGAATATTATTAGGAAGTTTTCCACCCAGAAAAATTACTGTTAATTCTAGTAACTCTCGGTAATCATCTCTTGGGTGATTTTCTAAAAGTTGATCTCTAGAAAATTTGATAATATCATCACATACGTTATTTACAGAATCCATTATTATACTATTTTGTATGCCAGGATTATAATTTTTAGTATTTATTATTCCCCAGGCATGTTGGAACCTTTTAAAAATGGCCATGTCTGGGCCCGATGTCTCCCCAAATTTTAAATCGAACACACTTTTTAGTATAATTTCATACATATGATGGCGACATGGTAAATATACCAATTGTGTTCTAATAGTTACTCTAGCAAAACACAAGCTCCGTTTAAGCGACCTGTATTTGATGCTGTAGTATCAGAACAAAATGCTTGTACATTTTCATCTAGACACCAATCTACAAGGGTATGGTATACTGCGTTAGCTTGTTCATGTCCAGTTCCAGTATCCTAGCAGTTGTTTCTGACCATTAACGGAAGCTATTATAGGAAGCCTATCAACTAATCCTTTTCCCGTTAATGTTGGAAGAAGTTTTCCATCCCAGTGTATAACTGCCTCTTCTTTTGCCAAGTTATAGTATTTTTTCAGCACGTTCCTTATTATCCATATTCTATACGAGTGCGTAGAATTGAAGACTGGTTTATAATAAGTGTATTAACATTATTACCCAAAGCTTCTGCAGCAGCAATTAAAAAATGTACAGCATTCCTGTCACTGACTTTACATTTGTCCAATTGCGAATTTTTCGGAGATAAAATCATCGTGCCCTCTGCTTAATTACTTTTTAAATGAACTACCTGGTTATCGTAGAAGTACATAAAATTCCTCACTATCTACATATCTCCTCAGAACTGTAGTTCTACAGTTTTATCTGAAATTAATTTTATATTATTATACATTTATTGAAATCAAAATTAATATTATAGACTAAAAACGTACACAAAGCTACAAGTTCATCACGGGCACAATATTTTCTTTTATTTGTCGCTTGTTTGCTATCTTCTATGATTTTTCTTTTTTTATAATTTTTTGATCAATACCAAGCAACGACCCAGGTCGACCTTTCTGTCTCTGGGCTATTAAAAATGCTTTATCATTCTCAATAGACAGTAAATCTAATGCATTTGCACTCGCTACGTCAAATAAATCATCTAACTTTGATAGAAACTGCGTATTTTTTTCCATTTTCGTAGCACTTTTTCTATATTCTAATTTTTGTAAATTTCTCCACTCTTTGTATAAACCTTCCAGCTTGTTCACACACTTTTGTTCTGTTCTTGTTGGTATGCGTGCCTTTCGCCAAAAAATGATTGCTTCTTGTATCACTAATGTAGCACTTTGATGCAAATTTAAGTTTACTTCACGCATATTAAAAAATAGTACCGACAAAACTTGTTTGTTTGATGGTAATTTACTACCAACAATTTGATTTGTACTATATCCAATTAAAAAAATATATTTCGACTCACGTAAACTATCCCNTAATACTCAACAATTTTAGTGTGACACTGGTCGTTGTAGTAAGTCAACTGAGAAATTAATCAATAAATCGCAAAATGACTACAATGACATGATATATCCGATAACATATAAGTATAGATTGTAATAATGTGTGATGTAGAGAATAAAGAATGTAGATAATATATTATTTGATTGTCTGAGTCATAAAAATAATCTTTAGGTAATAATCGCAAAATATGGGTACTGGGTAAAGTGCATATTATTTATTTGTGCAATCGACGGATAGCCGATAATGATTATCATTTTTTTTTGTTTTTGACCTTTTAGTTCGAATATTTAAAAAAGCTTTAAATTTATAATCTAAAGAATTTATCGTGAGATTCTTTTCTCTAGAGTTATGTTGGTTTTATAACAAAAAATGATTTTGAAAAATGTTCTATATTTGTAACTTCAGAGCTGTTGTGGCAGGGGTTAAATTTATTTGATTTGTCCAAAACTTTATTTATATCATTAGTTTTAGTAATGGAACTTATTAGGGGGGAGTAATTTGAAAAATTTGGTTATTTTTTTTTCATACATAATAGAGGACCACCCTATTGTACATACCTATATAAATTGGTTTGCATAAATGTATTATTTTATTTTTCAGTGACACAGCACACAAGTTTCATTGTAGGAAGTACAGTGTTTAAACATCTTTTTATTGATCAGTTTCTGCATTCACTTCTCGCTGGATACCAGTTTAATGTCTATCCTCCTTCTCATTGATTCCATATTTTTACCTATAATAATATAATAACAGATTTAATAATAATAATAATAACTTACCAAAAACAGCGTAGTTCATTATTAATTTATAAAAATCCTTTTCAAATTCATTAGTCGCTTTCTTCCTCATCTCTGTGTTCAAATCAATATATTTTTTCAGCCACGGCGACTGGTTAAATTGCATTACTCTGTGCACCTGTAACATAAATAATACAAAAATGTAATAAATATAATTAATTAAATAAAAATAAAAATGTTTACCTTTTTAACAATCAATCCATTTGCTTTTACTCGTTTCAAATTCCTGTACTGTATAATGTAGTTAGTTTTCGCCTCCAATGTGACCATCAGTTTCTTCATCTTCAAGCCTGGTGGTATTACGTTATTTGGTAAGAATGGTAAGTCGTTTTGTTTTACGTGCAGATATTCTGGGTACGTGATATCGACTTTGTATACCCATCCTATGGGTGAAATATCGTCTTATTCCTCCAAACCGTCTAATGTGGACTGCATCCACTGAAATCCACTATGGGGCATAATATTGACTCATTGCCCACCTGTACAAATTGTTACCTAAAATAAACAGAACATTTTTTTTTACAAGTATGATATATATATATTTTTAATAATGTGTATACTTATAATCCTGATATATTATCCATGAATCTTCTTTCGTCTCATCATAGTCTTCCATTGTATAATTTTTCGCCTTCACGTATCGTTTACTCACCTGCACCAATCCACCAGGTATACCTATAAAATAAAATAAATATAATAATAGTTTTGTAAAATAATATAAAATGTTTTACCTTTTTTAATCATCAGCAACATATCGTAGTCCGTTAAAAGTTCTAGTTTCATCTTTGTATATTTCAGCATGCAGTCAAAGCTGAATCCGGGTGCTGTGTAATAGAATGCCGGGTCTAGGTTATACGTCTTCATACATATATTGTTGAAATTTTCAAAAACATCCGCCAACAACATCACATCAACCTTCAAATAAAGGTCACTATATTCCCCTAACGTCCTACAATCAAAGTGATCCTATACCGTTTTCGCGTGTCGATATTCGTCTTTATCTTGGTTCCGCTTCACCAAGGGCATATCCTCTTTTTAAGATATTTTTTTCGTCTCCCGAAACTTCTCAAATTCGACTGTGTTGAGGTATCAGGTGAGAGACACGAGACTCAACGCCATAAAGCGATATGTACCGATAAATCGTACAGCGAACGTATTACTAATGTATTTCGAGAATGAAATAAATTTTTCTTAAGCGTAATATTGGCCTGGCTGAGGTCTTGAACATTCTGTTTTCGGCTGAATTTTGTACCTGCGGTTTGTAATATGTTGACTCTAGATTCAAATTAAATTTAATCGGGTTTTAACAATTTAAGAAATTGTTTGTAATTTTGAACGTTATTGAAATTTTTAGCATAGTACCATACGATTTACGTGAGAAAGAAGAATCAATTTCAGTGAATCCCGGTGTTTTAACTAACTCTATCCTGACTTTCTTCACTTTAGCGGCGGTTTTTTCTTTTAGCATACGTTACTTACCTAAGGGGAACAGAAAAAAAAAATTAATTAATTAAAACTAATACCGTCGCTATGTGGTGGGCCATAAAAGAAATCTTACCGTCGTAAATATCCATATTGATTTCCATAAACAGCTAATTTTCTTCGTCGGTATTCGATGGCCCGGTTGAAGTCGATGATATTGTAGATTGTCCCGCGGTTGTAGATGGTCCAGTCTGCGGGGGGATAGACGGCGTAGAGACTCTTCCGTCACGATGAACAATTCTAACATATGTATCGAGGTTGTCTTTACGCGTAAACATTTTCGGACACAGAGCGCATTGAATTTTTACACCGTTGTGAGTTTTAGCATGACGGGTCATATAATGTTTAACGTTAAAAACTTTGCTGCAACCAGTGACGGTACATTCGTACGTTTTCATTTTTTAAAATGGTATGCAAATAAACGAATTAAAATAACAAGTTAATTTGAAATGAAAATTATTAAGACTTAGAAAAAACGGTGGTCACGAGAGAAAATTGTAAGGTACATGGACACTAGTGTGTAGTAAAATCACTACTGACGATCGATCGTCCCGTCGTTGTGGTCATGGATAAATAATCCGATGATATTTAATCGTGTATATGTGTGTATGTAATTAACGATCGTGTGTTAACCTATTGGTCGATGCATAGTTATAACAATTATATTGTCGTTGATAAAAATCTATGTTAACAGATAATGACGGTTATGTAATATTTTGTTGCATAGGTAGCAATGTATAAGGATAGAGTGTCGACGGGGTAGGGCGAGCGCACGTGCGCCCGGAGACGAAAAATATCATAATTCTTATAAAATAATAATCGAAGGTATATGATAACGATTTGATAACAGTAGGTATGGTTAAGAGAAATACCGTAGGTATATGATAACGAAATAGGTATAACAGTAAGTCGAATAAGTATTCGATGTGGACAAAATATTTGGATAAAGTGGGAGGGGGGTGTAGTCGAGTACGTGGTGCATGTAGAAAATATTTGAAAAAAAAAGGGGGTGGGGAAAATATTATGATGAAGAGGTGGACAATTCAGGCGGGCCATGTATTAGATATAACACCTGGCACCTGCACCAGCACCTGAGGGTGAACCACCTATTTCATACTGCTTATACCCAATAGTTCTGTAAAAGAAGTAATAGACTTCAAACTGTGAAAGTCCATTACCTAGGATAGTTTAACCCTAAATAGACAATGAACTTTTATTTAACCCTGGAAGTGTTGGGAACCCATGTCTTAGTATTAAGAATATAATATACTTTATTATACTTTTTTATTCATATAAGTGAAATTCCTTATAAAATATGTACAATTTATAATAAATAAATAAATAAATAATTAGTTAAAACAGTTTGGTTTAGTATTTAAGTACTCCCTAAAGATAAACTCAAATAAATTACTATCAGTTGTCAATTCAAAATAAACCAGGATTGACGGTGAACCTAGCATCAACAGGGCCAAGGATAATTAATAATTGTATACAAATTACATAAAAGAAAAAAAAATAGTATTTAGTAAAAAATTGTTAATAATAATTAACTATTTGAAGTTAATTTGTCTATTATAACTTTTTTTCATGTTCCAGACTTTACTTTTTATATTAGAGCTCCAATATTTTTAATTTTTAATTAAATTTAGTACGTACCTTTTTTTGTAGCACCTAGGGCATCTAACAAATATTAACAATCATTTTAGGAATTATTATTCTCCAAAATTGTACTATAAATATATTTTTGGTTAAATGTAAATTGATTTTCAATTATTGACACATTTTAATTTTGTTCTTTTTCATAATAATATATAGAACTATTTAAATTTGCTATGTCAATCCGACTTCTGAAAGGACTTTATATTTGATAATATTTGAGGTCATTTCCATTTCAAGCTATAAATTTGTCTTCTATCAGAATAAAAGTTTTGTTGTTAATTAAATCATAAAATTTAGCATCTGGATCTACCAATTTTTTTTTGTATAAAACATCATTAGCTAAAAAATTAGTATGATTACAAATAACAACCATAAGTTTAATGGGTCAGTTAGCTGACAATGCATTTACATAATCTTATTTTACATCTCATGTTTGATAATAATGCTTCTTGTAATATATTATCATAATGCCCATTATCTTCAAGTAATCCTAATGCTTAACAAGCAGATTGAAAATTAAGATTAACTATGTTATTGATAAAATATAAACTTAAAAAGCTATCCTAGGATAATGGAGATGGATGCAGCAACTGTTATAGATGTTTAGTTGTGTAGTTGGGCTGGTAGTAGAAGGGAAATTTAATGTATATCTGTAAGCAATGATAAACCAATTCTAAGCTGAGTTATGTGGCTATTGTTACTTTATCAACTATATGTATATCATATTATTGTAAAATAATTACACATACATTATATATTTTCTTTCATAATATTTGTTTAATATTGTACCTTTTCCCAGTTTTCTCCATTTATCGGGAAAATTCCTTGAAAAATCAAAAAATTACCTACTTAAAGTACCATCCCAGTCAGATTTCCTTTCAGAAAAAGTGCTATCATTGTAAATTGGAGAGAAATTGCTGGTAGAAAATATTGTTCATAGAAAAAAAATAAACACCATTGCATAACCAATACATTCCTCGCTCTATTCAGAATCTAAAACGATGTGGTCCTTTAGTGTGACGAAGTAGTAAATGGAGATAAAGACATTCAGTATTATTAAGGTAAATTTGACCTTAAAATAACCTTAATACATGAATATTCCTGGAACAGATAATCCACAGACTCGCTTTTTGAAACTCTTCTTATTAGCATTCCATGTACAATATTTTGTGATTTAATTATATCATTATTATTGACAATAAATTTAAAACTTTTGAATTTGATTACTATTATACGTCAATTATTTAAAAACGATCATATTCATCTCAGGTGAGGAGAACCAAATTTTAGGAGAGACCTACTAAACCATAACTTACCACTAAATGTACACATTTAATACTTGTTGGATGGGACAATGATTAGGTCCGGGAGGGAAGGAGATCTTACTCCCATGGTTATGGTACTGTGTGTGGCCTAACCTATCATTGGAAAACAGTATTGTTTTACAGATATTTAAATATAGCAACAACAATAGCACGATTTAGATTTGTAGGTTCGTGTGCAGTATTATAACCAAAAAAAAATTACAGAGGGGTGGCACTTAATTTTTTATCCAGTTTTTGTTAAGCTAGAACAATTACTATCTATGATTTTATGGTTCCTTTATTACTTTATCACTTATTATTTACCCCCTTAGTTTTACAACAAAGTTAAAAAAGTTTGTTACCTTGTAAGAGAATATATGTATCACTAATTGTAGAAAAGTGATATGTCCCTAAAAATTAATTTTACAGAAAGCATAAAAAAACTTTCTAAAGGATTGAGGGAACATGAATAAATCACATTATTATTTCAATTTTTAAAAATTAATTATCTCACTATTTTCCTAAATTCAATATGGAAATTGGCAGCCATTTTATATTGTGAACATGTCTCTTTTTTGCATTTAAAATACAGTGATGGTAATAAAAACATTTTTTTTTCTACAGTGAAAAATCTTTTATTCTTTTAAGCAATTCGGAAATGTAATTATTTAGTTATTTATTTAATATTAATTAATTTCTATTTGAAGCAGATTATTTTGGCAGAAATATTTAAGGTAATCCATTAATATAAATAACAAAAAAAATCAGAATAAATACAATACCTTGAGATAATAACAGAGACTGATTAAATAAATCATTAATTTTTCATTAATTCTATTACCAAGGTAGGACCTAATCATTTGCAAACCTCTGTATTTCAGCAAAGAATGGTTTTTTTAATAATAATAATAATAATAACTTAACCTAACATCTAGAAAAATTCCCTAAACTATGTTCATAGAATCTAGATTTGGTTGTATATCAGAGGTCTGGAACTTTTTTCATGTACATGAGTCATTTAAAAAAAAAAAAAATGCAAAACCATGGTTTCCAAAGAGTTCCAATGGTTAAGATAAAAAAAAAAACACCATATAAAAAAACTAATAAAATATTATACTAAGAAATTTCATTGGGAATTGGTAGGGATTAAAAACATAATAAGTCTTAAATTTAGAAAAATTGTATGAATATATTATTATTACGCATTATTAAATTATTATTATTGTTTATACAAATATGATATAATTATTTAATTAGTCTAATTAAGACAAAATAAAAAACCTATTTGTCTAATTAGTGAGATTTAAAACACTGATTTTCTGTACAGTTTATTTAAATCTGGAGAGTAATCTCTTTAATGAAAAAAAAATTATAATCAAATTTGAATTTATATTTTACGAGTCTAGTTCTAGATTTAGAATATCTAAATATTAATGCATTTTCCAAAGAGCCATAGATTGTATGAGCTGCAGGTTATACTAGTCAGGTATATACTAATTAACGAAATTAATGAGATTATCATTAATTGTTGACGTAACTAGCCTCTAAAAATTTAAATTGATTTCAGAACAGAAAGAGTTATCATTCTAATTTTAACACACTTCAAAAAAATAGTAGTCAGAGCCTTTTATCTTCCCCTTGGTCAACCACCTGTTACTCAGCTGGCAATGTGTGATGACACAGTAGATACTTACACAATGCATTTTAAGTTATTTGTGCTAGTCGGCCATCTATTAAACTAATACTGCTCTTTAGGACAGCAGAACCAACACTCTGTGTTGATGTGCACAAATGTGTTGTTAGTATTTAATAGAGAAGATGATAGGAATTCACTTTAAAAAGCCACCACCAGATAATCAAAAAAATTACCATAACTTTATGTAAACTGAAATACTAATTTTATTTTGATGCATTTGAAATCTATCAGAGCATAATGAATTATTATTAATATTCAGAATTAATAATCTATACAATTAAAAGAACTAAAAAACTAAAAAAAAACAAATTTATAAATTTAATGTTCCTGCAAGGAACACAACATTACCCATGTCACAAAATATTTTTAAAAAGTTAAAGTTAAAAATAAAACATGTAGATGGAGAAAAAATATAGTGATATAGTAATATAGTGATCTAAATGATTACATCTTATATCTTATTAAACATGTTTCCAAAACAATAATATATTAAAAATAATAAGAAATAAAAATGAATAATCTTTATTAAAAGTATCCACATATTAATAAATAAAAATGGTATGAAATTGTTTTGAAAATGAAATGTGGCACTTTTGACAGAAATATAGTAATTAATAATAGAAAACATGCAATTATTGTATTAATTATCTCACTGAAAAATCATTTGTATTACAAACAAAATAATAATCGACTCAAGTAAAATAAATAGTTAGAAAATTAACTGAAATATAGTAATATAAATATTTTAATATTCAAACCTGAAGTAAACTTAATAGTAATTTTAAATTAATGAACTTCTATTTTATGACATTTGAAATTGTGATATTTAAAAAGAAAAATTGAAAATAAAAAGAATCCTTGAATATCCTTTAAGTTTAAAAAAAAAAAAAAAAAAAAAAAAATGAAAATAAAAAGTATAAAATATATTTATAAATAATATAAAAGCTCATCCAAACTATTATTTGGAGAGGTTTTGAGTGTCTGCCCAGTGAGAAATGCTAACTTATGAGCTAGTTGACAGGGAGCAGGAACTCTAACAGTACCCTATGAAAATTAAAATACACATTTGTACACATTATAAATAGAATATTTTTCAATATTATTCTGTGTAATAATAAATACTAACCGACCAATTGTAGTACATATGTGTCAATTTATATGTAAGTTTTTGCATTATATCAGGAGGAAGTTTAAGAGTATCTTCAATAACTTGATAATGAGTGGGAGTTACAGTTCCTTGTTTTACATGCTGAGATACCAGAAAGAAATCATACCTAAAAAAAAAATTAAATCAGTTAAATTTAACAAAATAATAGAGGCCAATCCTCCTTAACATATTTGTATTATTTTAAACACAGTCTCAAATTTACCCATAAGCCTTATATAGAGCAACAGTTCCCTAACTAGTATGGTTTGGAGGGAAAAATAGATGACTATCAGAGTGGATTGTGGATCAATCATAGACCACAACTATGCATTACCATTGCTAGTCTAGTGATTTATAAATACACTTTATCTACTAATACAAATGAAGCAATAAAATAAATAGAATACAACATTTATTTTCAGATTTCCACTTTTTTGCTGTATTAGGATTACGTTAACTGTTTAAGGAGTGTTGGGAGGAATTAATTTTTTTTTTTTCTGCCTGTGAAAACTTATCTAACAGCAAACTCACTCTGAAGTATAGACTATAGTACCTTTTCGGAAAGATAATTATCTCTAATTAGAGCATTGGGGAGGTCAATTAGAAAACTATAGGTAAAACCGGCAAATATTTAGTGTTAAGGTTTTCATTGTGTTATATTTCAATTTTCTACCAGAAATATTACTTCAATTGAAAAATGAAAAGAAGTCAATTTTGTTTCTACTAATATTTGGCTACTTGACAGAGTAGGTCATTCATCAATATCCAAAGTAATTTTCAAATAATTGGGAAAAACCAAAAAAAAAATTGATCAATATTAATAGCCAGGATTTAATTATTTTAATATGTCCAACTAGAAATATTATTTCAATCGAAAAATGCAAGTGATAGATTTTTTTTTTTAAAATTTCTAATTAATTAAGAATGGAGCCAAGTTCGGTTACATATGTTATGAAAGGGCGTAATATTTACAATTTTCATCAAAATTTGATTTTTAACTCATATAAGTAAGAAAAACAGTACCAACCTAAATTTAACCTAATTTTTTTTTTTTTTGATCTCTTATATATACATTAATGAACCCTTAAAAAAAATTAGTGAAATTTAAATATCTATTAAATAGCTCAAATTTTTTGAAAGTTAAATCATGTAGTACCAAAAGTAAATACAAGTTTTCTGTCAACATTTGAAGTCAATAAAAATATTTTAAACTGAATTACATTAAAAATATTAAATTCTCGGTTTTTTTCAGTACATTTTTCAGTAATATCCATGGTTTTTTTAATTATGCTCAATTATTTATAGATACTAGATAAAATCAAAAAACCAAAAACTTACAAGTGAAAAGATTAAAAATACAATAAAAAAGGTCTGTTGTTGTACAACTATTGGAGCAATATGTATAGTAGAAAATATAAGCCATAAAAATAATAAATAATAAAATTAATATATAATAAAATATATAGTAAAATAATGAAAAATCATAATTTCCTCTTTTTTGGTTTTTCCCAAATATTATGAAAAATAACTTTAGTATCAAAAAACAACTAACTCTGTTTTTTTTTTTTTTTTGATTAAAAAAATTTTTCTGGTAGAAAACATTGTGTTGACATAATAAAAAAATGAAACCAGTAATGTTTAAAGGAGTAGTGTTGTAAATATTTGCTGTTATTTAGCTTGTAGTTTGGTTTTCTCAATTATTTCGAAAAGAAATCCTTTTAAAAATCAAAAATAACCTCCCCAATATACCAATAAAAGAAAATAATCATTCAGAAACGTGCTACCGTTTATACTATGGAACAAGTTTTTGTGGTAGAAAGGTTTGTCAGACACAAAAAATGAAAAAAAATACAGGTACACACATCATAGTAAAACCAATAGGTTCCTTGTAAGGTACGTTCCCAATTTAAAAAAAATTAAATAGTACCTACCAAAAATATAAATAAATAATAATGAGAGAGCACAGATTTGTATGCATTTACATATTTATTCTAGTTAATCCTAGGACATGCTGAGTAAGCACAAAATGTGTTTCATGACATAACAATTTTAAAAAAATTCAACTTTTATAGTTCATATTTCGACATTTTTTTTAAGGGATTTAAGGGATTGTTTTTACAATTTTAATTGCATATTTCATCTTTTAGTGTATATGGTTTTTTGTTTTTAAACTGTATCAACAGTTTTCCCAAATATGACCTTAGATCAATAATCAGTGAAATACATATACCAAAATAAGAAAATATGGATTATGACCATTGGAATTATTTCAGTTGTGTTACAGTTGCCTTAGTGTATGCTTTCTGTTGTAATTTGCATTTTTATTACTTTTATTTTTATTAAAATGCTGCAAGATATATGTTATCCGGAGTCTTATACAATAAAACTACCTATAAAATGATAAAAGTGAAGAAAAGTATTTATAGTAGGGTTCCATAATTTTAAATTTATTGTTTAATTAAATGTTCAAAAAATAAATTATTTTGCTAATTTTGTTATGCATAATTAAATATTTTAGTGCATATAAATATATATATATTTATGCATATGTAAGATATTTAAGCACATATTTGGTTAACTTTTAACAAATATAAATCTACTCTCTAATAATAAGTAATAACAGGTAAAATAATTCATATTAAAATTAATTAGAACATTTTATGTTATTATATTCAATTGCACTATTTCACTTGGTAAATAATTTTTGTAAAAAAATGTACCAACTAAAATTTCCATTGTAGTAATCAAAAAGTGGTCATCTTATTTGAGGGATGAATGGAGAACTATAATTATATTATATTATTATCTCGCTTTAAATAAATTTGCAATAATGATGAGATCTATGGTAGGAAAGGTAGCAATGAATTTGAATCTATTTTGTGCAAAAATAAACAGTGAACTTGTTTACATTGACGGGAAAATGGTGGGAGTTGCTGTTGCATAGAAGCTTGGTCACACTAATAATTCTCTATGACTAACACAAAGATTCCAGGCTAATGGACTTCATTGGTTAATTCAGAAATATGAACTAATATAATAATATAAAATTTGCAACCAGGCATTAATAACAAAATTTAACTACAAATAAATGTTTATAAGATAACTGGGCTTGTAATTTAACTCTAGATTAAGAACATTTTTATCAACGGATAAAATTTAAAACATGATTTATACAACAGAATTTAGTTTCACTACAGCTAAAGAGTTTATCTCTATATAAATAACTGAGAATCTAAGCCGGTGACAATTAAAGTGACATAACTCAAAACAGGCCTATTTTTTTTTAAACTATTATTGTGTAAATATTATATTTAGTTCCTTCAATGTTAAGAAAATTTTGAAAACATCAAAATAAAGGGCCTCCACAATGCACAAATTAGACCAAATTTCTATCAGACTACTCCAAAAATTTAAGATCAAGATAGTTTTGATAAGGTAATGAAAAAAAAATGAAGAAAACCCACACATAGTAAATGATATACATTCCTAATTATGATTAATATGAGAATATGAAAAAGAAAAAAAAAATACCTAAGTATTTACTATAATATAATTTATTACTTACATACATTGCAATTGTTTTAAAAAATTAAAAAATAAATAAATTATGTTCCTTACTTAGTTGGATCTGTGACTACACTATCAACTATAGTACCAGGTTGAGGATTTACAGGTCCTTGTTTAGACATGGCGAAAAACCGTGTACTGATACGTTTCGTAACTATTAAGAAAGCCAAAGGGACAGAAGATGGACCATAGAATTTTTCACAAGCAGTCTATGAAAAAAAAATTAACATATAGTAAATATATACATAAACTAGTGAACACTTATCAAAAATACTAACCTTTAGCAGTTTTATTTCAGTTTTATGGACATGGGAAATCTGTCCTTCTCCAACACCATCTCTGTATATGACAATAGAAGTAGGTAATGCCCCATTTTTGCTTTTGTATTTTAGTAAAGCCTCTGAAATTTACAAAATTAATATGTAGTTAAAAATAAAATAAATCTTAGATATAATTTAATTATTTATTTCTAATTATATAGGAATGGGGTACACAATATCTTTTCATATATTTTATAAACAATCATAATGGCAAGTGGTAAAATGATGAGACAAATTATAAATTCACAAGTTATAGTTCAAAAAATATTCCAAGTACTAGAACCACTAAGTAAAAACTAGTAGTACAATACAAAATTAAAAATGAAACATTACTTACTACTTATACCAGTAGCAAAATGGTTTGATAATTCTTCTCCACTTCCATGGGGTTCTACACAACTGAAATAATTAGTGTGAGTGTCATTCATTGTAGCTACCAAGGCACCATAAGATATATTTTTACGTTGACTGTCATGACATACATCAAATCCTACTATCATAATACCCTGAAAAATTCCATTCAATTACTCACGTGAATAATATATATATATTAATATAATCAAACCTTTTTAGGAATGGTGATTAGCCATGGAGCACCTCCGATTTTACAGTTCAATTGAATAGCAATTTTAGTACACACAGAAAGATTATTTTTTTGTACATTCTTTGCTAGTACTACTTGTGATGGAACTGAAAACAAACATAATTACCATTAATATAATTATTTTTAAAAAAAAAATTGCCCCTTAAAAATACATTTCAGATGAATACATATCACATGAAATCAAAAATATTGACTATGTCAAATTTACCAGCTCTATCAATGCATAATTTACGCTTAATCAAACTGTAAATATCACCACGTGCTGATGGAATAACACATAAAATCAAAGTAGGATTTTTTTCATTAATTACTTGCTCTAGATGTACAAGAAATGTGGCTGATCGCCCATCTCTCATAAAGGCTCTAAAAAAAAATCAACTATTACATTTACACATTATTTAAATGTGGTTTTGGTTTTTTAATAAATGAAAACAAATAACTTACAAATTTGGCTTTGGCAATGTAAATGACATTCCTTGGGCTGCTTTAGAAAGAGTTTGTGAAAATGATTCTACATCTTTTTGAAAGTCTTGAGGAGCTACAATAACCCAAGACTTTACTGAAGCATTAGTAAACATGGGTAAACAGCGTAAATGTCTGGTCCAATCAGCTTCAAAACCACCATCATATGATTTATTGTTACTTTTGATTTGTTCAGGAGCTAATACACGTGAAGGGACATCAACTAACTGGTTACTTAAAGTTAAATTCCACTTTTTTAGCTCAGACACAGACTAAAATTAAAGAAATATCAATTATAAAGTATATTTAATTGTATCCATTAATATTTTAAGTAAAAAAAAAAAATAGTGACACTACAAAAACATTTTATTTCATTTTTTGCTCCTTACATTTGATTATAGTGTTATATTTTTAAATGGATGTTATATTATATATAACTTTAGATTTATTATTTACTCAATTAATAATTAAATACAAATTACAGAAAAATAGTTTAAAGCAAATTTAAAAATTTTCATTTATTAAATTAAATAAATCTTTATCTCCAAAACTATAAAAAAAATTACCTCCTTAGAAGCAAGAAGACGATTTGCGAAATTCATCAATCTTTTCATTCTTTCAGCTGGATTTACACGCGTGTGTATTGCCATATCCTTCATCAGAGTAAAATTGTTTCTATAAATCATATCAAATGAATTAGAACAAAGAAAAAAAAAAGCTAATACTGTTGTTGGTGAAGGGGAAAGTAGGATACATAGTTATTTAATTTATGCCTATAATCAGTGATAAAACTATTAATGAAGATTTGAAAGTTCTATTAGACATTTTTTGAGATATATACAATTTTCATCAAAATTAAATTATAACTCTTACATAAAAAAAAAAGAAAACGCTCAATTTATTTTCTAACTACTAAGTATGATTTATAATAGACCTTCTATCAAATTCTCAAGCATTTTATTTAATCTAACAATTTTATCAATAAAACCCAACAAATAAAAATAACATAAAAAAATTTAGCAAATTAAAATATCTATAAATAGCTAAATATTCTGAAAGCTTTACCTAAAGCTATGTCTAAAAAATGTAAATAAACTTTAGATATCAAAAAAGGATTACCTCTGTCAGTAGCTATGTGTTAAAAGGAATAAAATCGATCACTTATCATTTTTTGATTGGAGTAATATTTCTGGTAAAAAACACTAATTAAATATATTAAAAATCAATTTTAACTTTTTAGTTTTCCAATTATTTGGAAAACTACTTTGGATATCAAAAAAGGACTTATTCTGTCAAAAGCAAAATATTAATAAAAAAAAATACCATAAATACTGCTATAAATACCATTTAACCTAACATTTTTTTTCCAGTTTTTCCCAATTTTAAGTTAATAGAAACCAAGAGATCCCTCGCTTCAATCTAAAAGAAGAGAACATTTAAACATTGTACTTTAATTTATAAAATTACCTCATAGCATCAGTTATGCCAGTCATAATACAAAATTCAGGAACAAGGTATACTAAGGTATCCTCATTTCCAAATCGACGGGTAGCTTTTTTATTCTTAGATATTAACATTGGTTGTTTACCTCCACGTATTGTCAAATTCCATTTCTATAAAAATTGCAATAAATTAACGATACTAACATACCTTCCAAGTGTAGTAAAATTTAAATAAGACGTAATTTAACTTTATACTAACTTCTTTGTAATATTGACTATAAGTCATTTTGGATCCATCTTTTTTCATAAATTCAGAAGATTGATCAGCATTTTCATCTATATCATCTATGCGATATGTTTCATTGTTGTATGATGTCATCACAGTAGCTCCAACAATACCAGACTTAAAAGTTATCTAACCATGAATAATTAATTAAATAAAATAAAAATAAATTCTTATTGTGCATAATCAACAATTTTGATTGAATATAAAAGGAAAATACAATTATGAATACTATAACCAGAGTCTGGATTTATATTCTTTTTATTAAAAATGTTTTTATACAGCAAGAATATATAAAATTGTCTCAAAATATTAAAAAATTCTTAGATAGTAGTTAATAGATTCAATAGTTAATTATTGTGACTTCTTGGGTACATTAGTATAAAAATATATTTATTCATGAGTTTACAAATAATTATTTGTCACAGTAAATTACTGAATTGCTAACTAAAAATAAACTATACTAAACTAAAAACTCAATATTTCTGTAATTTAATCCAATAGTCCAATATAACCAAAATATGCTAAAATATTCTTTAATATGTACCATAAGCCAGAATATTCACGAATGTCAAAATATGCACTAACAAGCAAAGAAATTATTTTTTAATAGATTCTATATGTTAATGAAACACAAAAATTTCTTACTCTATCAAAAATTCTAAAAGTGTGTTAAAAATGTTAGGTTAGATTGCATAGTTAAGAGCAGACTTGTCATTCTACTCATAGTACAAGTCAAGCAAATATTTTATTAGTATTGTAAATACCCAAAGTAAATAAGGTATATTAATACAAATTTACCATCCAATCTTGATTTCTATTTCTATCAGCAGTGCATTGATTTAAGAAGTCTAAAACAGTTTCCTGACGCATAACCTTAGTAGATATTTCTGCACATAGTAAAATATCTTTTTCATATTTTCCAATTGATGTCTCATAACCTGGCCACAATTGTAACTTATGTTGCACCATATCAATCTAAACAATGAATACGAAAAATTAATGATAACAAAACATAGTATACCAAAAAAAAATAATAAGAAAATTACTTTAGCATTTTGATCATAGAAATTTCTCCCAATTAATTTAAGATCGAGATGTCTAAGACAATTTCGTAAAAGTAAATTGAAAACTTGAATGTTCGCATAGTCACCAGTTTCAATGATAGCTGTATATTTTATATTAATTATCACTTTTACATCCTCGGACCGACGAGTTGAAATTAATTGAAAACTCTAAAAATAACATAGTCATTAATACAAATTTAAGAGAGAGAAATAGATTACAAATTCCATACTCACTTCTGGATCATATTTGGTGCCAGAAAATAACATTGTTCCATCAAATAAATATCCTCCTAATTGTTCTTTATGTTGAGACAATAAACCTCTTTTTGTACCAATCCTATCCTCTTCAGGATCAAAATCGACTCTATACTGGTATAAACACCAATTTGTATATGATATAATTGGAAAATAATTTGCCATCAGTTTAACTGGTTGCCCAGAAATTCCTAATAAGCAAAATAACAATATGAATTTTAATAAACAGGAAACTATTATATATTATATACTTATATAATTTTATAACTTTAATTAATGTTAAATAATTTCTTATAAAATAATTGAATAATAATGCTTAGCAAAAATTAAATATTAATTTGGAAAATAGTAGCTTAATTAATTACAATATACCTTGTTTTCCAGTAACTCCCAAAGAAGATTGTGGTCTCGGTGTACGAAAATGTTCAATATCTAATTGTCGCCGTCCACGAACAGATCCACGACCAATTGGTATTAGTGCAGAGTCTCCTATGAATTTAAATAGTAAGAAATGGTAACATTAATTAGAGAATGGTTTTAAGATGGCGTTTAGTTCTTTTTTTGGCAAAACAAAGACTATTTTCCAAAATTAAAATTAGGCTACTAACTAATAAAATCAAGTATTTTTTCTTCAGCATGTTAATCTAAATATATAAAAAAAAAAAATACCTTAAAACCCCTTAAGTTATTAGCTTGAAGGTAAAAATATTATTTGCTTAAAATTTGTTTATTGATTTCAATAGGTAATGTAAAATTAATAAATACATCATGGTTAAATATGTTAACAAAATAAAACCATCCAACTAAAATAATAAACTTTACCAGCAGCCAAGTTTTTAACTCCTTCTGTTATCTGTTGCACCTGAAAAAAATAAACATGGTTACTACATTTCAATATTTATTCTTTAATAAAATTAATTTATTTTTACTCCTGCCATTGCAGAATCTGGACCATCGCCAGAAGATTCCATCCTTGGTGCTATTATTGGTCTAGGTGCTCTTTGTTGTGGTGGCCCAGTCGGCCGTGGTGGCATTTGACGAAGTGGACGGGAAATACCTTGACCAAAACTGGGTTGCATTTGTTGGGGCTGTATTGATTGTGATTGCATAGATGGATATGAATGAGGAGGTAATGGCCTTACTGGCTGTTGTGTGACTTGTATTGGATGAGGCCCTCGAAACTGACTTGGTTGCATTGGTCGACCTCCTAGAGACTGGCCAAATTGAGTTGATTGTATTGGTCGACTTTGAAATTGACCAGATGAACTCTGTTGCATTGGCCGAATTCCTTGAGCTGAGCCAAACTGAGTATGTTGCACTGGTCGTATTCCATGAGCTGGGCCGAACTGAGTTGGTTGCATTGGTCGAGTTCCTTGGGCCTGACTAAACTGAGTATGTCGAGCTCCTTGAAATTGTCCAGATTGACTAGATTCTCCTGGCTGATTTTGAGGCATTAATGGTGGTTGTGCTGGACGTCCACGAGCCTTTCCTCTAGTCGGTCTTATAGGATTATTTGGATCCATTTTAAATTAGAAGTATGAACTATAAAAAAAAGAACTAAAATTATTATTATAAAAGAAACAAAAATATATTTTGTACATCTATTTTGAAATAGTCTTAAATCAAATAGTAAGTTATATTATGTAAATAAGGCTATTGAAAAAAAATAAGCTAATACTGTAGTAGATACGAAGTTAGGTAGGTAGAATAAATACAGTTATTCAATAAATATCTGTAAGCAACAATCAATCATTGTTAACGAAAACACAAATCTGAACAAAGTTTATACATGATTTATTAAGGCCATAATATTCACAATCTTCTTTAAAATTTTATCTTAAAACAATTAGAAAAAAAAATTACCACATTACAATCTACTTTTATTTTTCTGATCACTAAGTACAACTTATAATAAACCTCCTGTTAAATTTGTATGCATTTCTGATTGGTCAAGATGTGGATATTATGTCCATAAAGTACCTACCAATTAAAAACTAAATTAATGTTTATAAATGGCTAAAAATCATTAAACGTTTTCAAGTATTTACTATATCTAGAAAAAGAACAATTATAAGTTTTCTGTCAAAATATCAAGAAGTCTGCAGGAATAATTTTAACTGAATTACAACAAAAAAATAAAGATAATAAATATCAGGTTATTTCTGCATTTGTTTTTTCTGTTTTACTGTATTCTAAGAAAACTACAATGAAAATCAAACCAAGACTTCATCAGTGACTAAATCTAAAATGCAACAAAAAAGGCCTCTATAGTCTGTCCCAGGAGAGAACGGTCCGCTCTCCGACCAAATCGAAACGCTACTGCGCATCCCCACACCGCAACACTATCCATTTATTCCCTCCCGGATCTATCGACAGCGTTGCAACGGCGACCGCAGAAGTGGTGCAGGTGTTGTACACTGCGTTTCAAATAATGCACTGTTGACTGTCGATAGTCCACTGTTTTGTCGCCAATTGTCGTGGTGTACGCACACGTCATTTATACAGCGTTTACTTTTTTGTACCGTTTGGTAATTTTTACTTTTTTCTCAATTTTTTTAATTATTTTAAAATGAATAACGGCGAGTATATATATATATCTGTATTATACCTACAGTGTTCAATTAAATATTAAATAAATAAATATGTATACAAAAAAAACAAAATCTGGATTATTATAAAAGGTGCTTGTATATACGATAGTTTACGATTTGAAAAATCATCAACAGGTTATAAAAAAGCAAAGGTAAAAAAACGTGCGATGCGCGATGTCTGATAATAATAACAAAACTTAAAGATGTTTTATAGGATGCGGTGTATAGTCAAAAACCGACGACGGAAGAAATGACAATCGGCTACCTTCGCTGAAATCAAGTTATGTAGAGGGGGAAAACATGCGCATCAGCGGACCGTTCTCTCCTTGGACAGACTATAGTCATTTTTTTTAATAAAGCATTATTTCTAGTAGAAAAAAATTAAAAACAATGAAATCCATAACCCAGTAAATATTGGTCTTTTCATTTTATCTTGTCTTATCAATTTTCCAAATTATTTTGAAAACCACTTAGAAAATCAACAATGATTAGATTAAATTATTCTTTAAAAGTTCTTTAAATTCTTTTTTTTCTAAAAAGTGTTACACATCGGAGTAAGATTTCTCTTGAAAAAGAAAGTTGATGGCACAAAAAAAAATTGAGTTATTTCTATATAAAAAAAAAAAATGTAATTCAAACTGGCGAGTATATTTAAATTTATTATTGTGAACAGATTGGATTATGTTATTATTTTAATTAAGAAATTAGGTAATATTTAATATATTATGACAACTATTAGATTGAAAATATACCACCCACTGGTTTAAATCATCTTATTTTTAATAGAAAATCTCAATTTTTTATAAACTATTTTTAGTTATAGATATTGGCAAAATATTTTGTCTATTATGAGTTATGACTATATAGAAGGTAAGGAAATTATATTAGTATATATTTGATTAATTACTAATATTAGTAAGATAGTATTTGTATTATATATATAAGATACTTTCAAATTACAATGGGATTTACTTATAACATAATTAAAAAGACTGGAGATTCAGAATGGTATATCTGAATTTTGTTACATATGAATTACAAAAAAAAAAATTATTTGTTTTTGAAAAATGTATTTACTAAACATGTTTCTAAATTGTTTTATTTAGTTATCTACCTAAAAATGTTGTTTTAATATATTAACTGTAGCGCAAAGACATTCTCTAATTATTTAAAAAAAAAAAAATATTGAATAGAACAAGTTATTTTAAGTGTCAGATCATTGTGGGACACTTATACAATATGAATTGAGAATTTGCGTAGCCCCAATAACATGTATTTAGTAACATTTATTTTATTTAGGTACCTACCTAAATTATTTTTAAGCCTGAAATAAAATAAATAAATAATTCGATCAAAATTGGCACAAATATGACAACATAGGTTTGTACATAATTTGTATTGCATTGGTAAAATTAGTTGACAGAAATAAGAAAATAAAAATAAATTATTTAACTGTGATAAACTTGCTTCAGCCATGATATTAGGTATGTTAAATTTAATTACTTTAAAACTGTAACATGATTTAAAAAAATTCAATTGAATTAGAATGACAGATGGATGAAAGTTGATAGTTATAAAAAATCTGTAAACTAGAGAAGAGAAAGATAATGTAGATGGTAGAAGAAGAGATAAGGGTACTATTCTGTTATCTTGACTACAAATCTGTGGCATAATTATCCAGTCATTATTACTAGTTTATTATTCAATTTTGTTTTAGAAAATCTTCTCTAGTCAATTTTTAAAATTTTGGCAGAACTTTCGATTTATTAATTCACAATTTTACTCTAAGTTAGCATGCACACACTTCTCCCAGGAAAGTAATCCAGTCTATGAAGTGTACATGATTTATACCCAAATAGTGTTCACAATATTTAATAGACTTTATTTCCAAATGCCCACAATACATTAATCATAAAGCAGTTTACAGACAATTGACTAGTTTAAAATAAGTTATTAGGAGCGTTCCTGATGTATAGCTTTTTAGTATAACCATTTTGTTTATGTATTGTGTATTGGAAATATACCTTTTTCTAACTCTGGTAGTAAGTAAATTCCACAGATTCACAGTTTAACCAATTTAAATAAGTGGTTAAGTTAATAGATAAGTGATTAACAGGTAGTCATGGCATCAAATAATACAGATGAGAAGTATGTTTGTATGTCCAAAAATTTACTTCCCCTCCAGTCTAACTGACAGGGAGATCTATTTTCAATACAATAATACTTTATGTACATAGACTATCTTCATGTCCATATATCTAGATGGAATATTCACCCTGAGGATTGGAACACGTGGTCAGTCTGAAAGGATCAATAGAAACTGTTTATAAAGACTAGTGTGAGAGAGAGCAAAAAAATGGAGCTAATTAAAATAATTTTATTTATTATTTCATGTGTTTCAGTCTTTGAAATGAAACTCCACTCACTAGAGTGGGCTTAAATGTTGAATGAATCTAGATGTAAAAGTACATATAGATGAAAAAGTTTATATCTATACATTGATATCACAATATATAATAAGACAGTCAATAATTTAATATGATACAATATTGACACATCAATAATTAAATTTTTAACAATATGTATAAAGATATAATGTAAAACAAAAATAATTATTATTAACCTTTTATCAAATATATTTTATTATAATAAAAGACAAATATAGGATTGTTAATACAAATACTGTTTGGAAATATTTTACTCTTATTTATACATTGTGTTATTTTGTATACATACTTTTTAAAATAATATTTAATTGTACCTAATATTATTAAATACAACTATTAATAAAAATAAAATTTGTTTTTTATTATTATTATTAAAGTCTTTCTAATAAACTATATTTCTGACAAATTATTTACATAAAATATAGACAACATTATTCTTTATACACGACAAAAAATCCAATAGAAAAATATTATTTGAATAAGAAATAAATTATTTCTCAACCAAGCGTGTTATGTCCGTGTAATTGGACAGAGAAATATACATTGATATGTATTCAATTTTGATAATAAATTTGAAAAACACATTATCAAAGATAAAAAGTATTAATAACATTTATGTTATTGTGGAATATAAAATGCCCCTATACTAACTGGGAGCCATGTAGAGAAAACGAATATTATAATTTTCATACACTGTCATATTACTAATTGCCCATTTTAAGTGCACTACAAAAACACTTTATCTGTTAATAAAAACTTCCATGTGATAAATATGGCAAAACCCATTTTATTTAATATTCTTGTTTCAATATTCCTTTTTATTTTAGATTCTGAGTAGAGGGAGGAATGAATTGGTTTACAATGTTTATTTTAACATAGTGATTATTATTAAATTAAAAAATAATAAAGTAGTTGTATTTTACTACCTTAGATATTTAAAAATAAATATCTTTTTATTTACAAATGTAATAAAAATAATAATGGCCATATTATTGTTTTAAAATAAACAGCTCCTAATATAATATAATTCTAATAATTATTAATATATTGAGTAAAAGATGTTGTATCTATTAGAACAAAATGCATATAAGTATAAATTAGTCATGTGTGATAGGGAACAAGTCAAATTAAAACTACCGAAAGTAATAAGTCATACACTTAAGGGGATTAGTTTAAAGTTAATCAAATATTTTTAAGTTTAAAGAAAACCTATATTTGAAAAAACAATTGAAAAACTAATATCAAAAATATTGATAAATAATTTTAACTTTTGGATACTGTAGACTAAAGTTTCTCAACCAAGGATATGCTTACCCTTGGGGTACGCGAAAAAAATGAAATTTTTATGTATTTGAAATGGTTTTTTATTTGTGAAATATTTAATAATTTTCGACATAAAAATCGTATTTTCACAATGTTAGTGTATAATACTATAGGTAATTATAATATAATATAGACACAGTTTACACTTAATTTTATTTAATTGGGTAACTCAAACATTGTTCGACACAATTTCAATCGTAAAAAATTTTTTTTATATATATACATTGTACGCATGCTGATTTAAATAAATAAATGTATCCAAATTTTCCATTATCAAACTTATTTTTAAATTCTTTATCTATATTGTATAAAAATATAGGACAAATTGATATTTTGGGGTAAGTAAAGCAGTGATGAGAGGTCAAGGGGTACGTAAATGAAAAAGGTTTGAAGAATGCTGTTGTAGACAGTAGACAATTTTTTATAATGGATTTTGTAGAGATTTTCAATAAGAAAGGCTAAATAAATTTATTACGTCACTCTGTCCTTAGTTTATTATGTATAAAATTATAACACATTTGACCACAGGTAGCATAATAAACGCAAATAAAAACGCCCCTTTACTTTTACAAAACTACAGCGCCTAGAGGAAATTACCCCCTTTGCCCCCCCTTAACACAGCTCTGCCTACAGAATTTTCCTATAGCTACTGCTACTAAAGACTACTATAGACTATTATAAAGCAATTTAATTTGTTTAATATAAATATAATGTTATATGATAATATATATGCAAGATGATTTACTAAGCGTGCTCACATCAATTTTAGATTAAAATTCTGATTTTCGGAATTTTTAAATGTAGTTAAAGCCAATATTTTAAAAATTCAGATTTTTCAAGGCATTAAAGGAGTATCCTGTAATGTTGTATTAGTTCTCCATTACTCTCCTGCTACCTGAACTTAAAAATGAAATAACTTTTCAATGGGTTGACGGAAATCAAAAATTTGACACCAAGTTTTATTTTAAGTAATACTCCATCTAGTTATGAAATTTATAATATAGGTTCTCATTTGAAAAACCAAAATTGGAATCACTACATGAACACTGTACATCGCAATATATGACAATGTAAATAAGTGTTTTTGGACATTCTTCATAAAGTGGGAATTTTCTGTATCGTGATTAAACTACCATGTCACCAAAAAAACTTGTGCGTTAATAAGTAAATCTTAAAAATTAAAATAATTTGTTTTATTATTATTTTGAATACTAAGTTTCTCATTTCAGTGCTGCGATATAAATGCAAAAAGTGTTTAAACTACTAACTTAATAAAAATACATTTATTAAAATTTAAAATTTTGAGTTATTGTCCTTAGCATATAAATGCATACTTTGAGTATATAAGTGCATATTTGGTGACTTATGAGTTCTCTACCCTAGTTATGATATTTGTTAATATGCTGCTTCCCTAGTTTATTTCAATACATTTTACATAATAATCAAATAATAATACAGAATAGTGCAATATTAAATATTTGTAATCATAGGGAAATACATAAAGCTACTGTAATAGTCATAAAATACAGTATAAATTGATATCTTAAGTAAACAGTATAAATATTTTTAAACTCAAATATCAGTCAAAACAACATCAAAACAAAAATTCGAATCAAGAAACTAAATAAAGTATTATTCAAGTAGTGTTGATGATATTAATTTATAGAATCATTCCAATAAATTATTAAATAATATACAAACAACCTATTTAATTAGTAATTTCAATGTTGGCAAGCTAGGAAAACAGTAGATATATCCACATTTGGATATATGTACAGTGGTAGATATATCCACATTTGGATATATGTACAGTGGATTCTACTTTATGTGGGCACATTGGGACCACAGTTACATTTGCCCACATTAAGCGATTGCCTATTTTAACCACAATTAATATTGTTATACATTAGAATCAAGACTAGACCATGATATTCATATTAAGCAACTGTCTATATTAAGTGGGATGTACTTGCTCTAAAATATATTATTACACAATATTAAGAACACATATTCATTTTTTTAAATAGGCCTACATGATTTGAATTTATAACTTAGCAATTTTAAAAATATATATATCATTATGGAAACAATGTAATCTTAATGGAAAAAAAATATTGAAAAAATATGTAGCAGGGGGTTGATGGCGTATCTTGGGTTTGATACACAGTGGTTCACAGAATATAAAATATAAAATCGTCCGACCAAAATCAATACCAAATACCTACCTAGTGAAAATTTTTCTAAATAATAAAAAAATAATAAGTTGTTTTTAAAAGAAAAACAAAAATATATTTTAAGGACGTATTCAGACGTCACCTTGTTAAAGAAAAAAAAAAGTGAAAATATCGGCGATATATTTGGTCTTGGTGTACACCGATACCTATAGCACCTACATAGGTATATTTAGATAAAATATTAATTCGAGTACAGACTTAAATATCAAATTTTTACTCACCATTTATTACGTAAAAGGCCATTACAAAATTAAGCACACAAACAAGTTCATCAACGTCAACAATATAATTTCCGTGAACCACGTGGATGATATAATAATTTATCAATTGAATCGACAAATAAATAATATTATTTTAATTAATTGAATTTGAATAAATAATAGGTAAAACCAAATAAATACAGTAGGTACCGCGGAATCTATGATTCGATCAAAAACCAGGAGATTCACACGAAATGTTGACCATATTTTCAAACGATACACGCCCATCACCAAAAATAAAATGTAATGTTTTGAATTATAATAAATCGAATGTAACCATACCTATTGACCTCTACACAATATGATTGTACTTGAAGTAGTTGTACTCCGCTCTTGAATACGGAAATAATTTAATTTTAAACTTGTGAAAACCAAGTGAAAAAAAAAAAAAAAGTTCAAACGAAAAACGACAGACAAACCATCAAGAGTTGAAGACGTCGACGTGATAAATGGCGATGGATGGCACCGCACGGTCACGGTCGAGCTTTGGTGTTGGCCCGCGACGACAGCGGCACCGATCTTTTCGTCGGTGGGGGTCGTGGCCATCACCAGTTTAGCCAACCTCTAATATCAAATTCTTTAGGTTAATTTTTAGGTATTTAATATTCGAATAATTAAAATTAACCGGAAATCAAAACAAATTGATCGACGGATCTAGAACAATATTGGTGCCCGCGAAACAACACCGTATACAGACAACAGGCTCCTGTCATAATTTTTTACACGGACAATAATTATTAATTGCGTAGGTACGAATATCCACTCTATGGCTTTTTTTTTTAATTTCAACATTCAACGTTCTACGGCCCTGTGACTATATTTACTACAAAAAAACGGTGACCTATATTTTGTTCGAAAATAATTCAACATAAAATATGTTTACGAAAATTATTCGAGCAGAAAAATTCATACCGAATATTATTCTGATAAAATATTTTTCTTCTAAAATACGGTTCAACGTAAATATTTTTTGGATTATTTATTTTTCGACAGTTTTTTATTTTTCTGATAAAATATTCTGACAAAAAATTTTCGTACTTCGTACGCGTCCCCCAATAAAACGACTATTTTGGTAGAACAAATAAAATCCATAGAACCGTGTGATAAATCGCGTGTAATGAACACAATGCCACGCGCCAATCAAAAGTTCAAAAACCGTGTAAAAACACGTTTTGACCATTACACGGACACACGTCTTGGTGTCTACGCTATAGATAGGTACAGGAAAAGCAAAGCAGGCACGATTGGCATGTGGTAGTATTTTCAACTGAGTTTTGGCGCCTCCGTTCCACAAGCACGCGCGAACTATAACATTGCGCTATAAGACAATATTTTTAGTATTACACGGCCTTTACACTCATTCACATGCAATTGCAATGTCACTCCGGCCCGGTCGTGCGGTGATTCCCGACGGACTGGCGGGCGGCGCGTCAAGAATACACTTAAGAAAAGGTGACGTGCACAAATAATTGGCAAGAAAGCATGTCCGGTGTAAAGGCGAAAACAGTATCCGTTTCCGCCCGATTGGAGTGGAGCGTGCAGAATTTCAACTATTTGTTTTACCGTTGGATTGTCTCGGCGCGCGTCTTCGCTTTTACTTCGCCAATTTATTTCATTGTGACGTGACGTCTTGTTGTTCTACTTATTTCTAATTTTGTTTTAAATTATGTATACATAATCACACGATGGGTGAACCACTGTTGTAGATGAGAAGTTGGGAAGGTAGGATATGGAAGGAAATTTATCGTATATCTGTAAGGAAAGATAAATAATTGCTAACGAAAAACGATTTTGAGCGGAGCTCGATTACTAGTATTGCTTTTTAAACAATGTATTACATTTAATATAGTAAAATAAATATGCATTGAAACAATTCGTATGGACCAGTAACTAGATTGTTTCCACATAATTTTTTACTCAAACGATTTTCGTCAAAATTCTATACTAAAATTCTTTTATAAAATAAAAAATACTACATTAGGCTCAAATTATATTTTTGAACCACAAAATACGACTTTTAATGAACGACCTGTTCAATTTTGAAATATTTTTTTTTAGTGTAACAATTCTACCACACAATACCTACCAAATAAAAACTCTGTACAAAACTCGAAAAATTACAATGTATATAATAGCTCAACAATTTTGAAAATTGTACATCTAAAAAAATAAGTCTATAAGTTTTCTGTCCAAATTTCAAGTCTCTACGAATGTTTTCAACAGAATAACATAGATAACAAAATTTAAAATAATAAAAGCGTTATTTTCGTGAATTTCCCTTTTTTCTAACGTTTTTCCCAAATATTATGAAAATCTCTTGGATAATCGAAAAATGATCTCCCTAAAGCACCATCTAGACAATATTTCCTTTTAAAAATAGGGGCGAGAACGTGAGTGACTGCCCAAGGCGCCAGTATATGTAAAGGGCCAAACTGAATATTATTTAAATTTAATTAATCTTTTGATACGCATTAACGAATACAATTTTCAATAATTTATAGAATTTGAAATATGTATTATATTCAATGTAGTTTTGTCACAACTGGTTCACCGATTATCTTTTGATAATATTTACAATTTACGTTTTATCTATTACAAATAAATTCATTACTGGGCGATAACAGATAAGTACCATGTTATCTACTATAAAATAGTTTTTGAATGTTTATTTCATTCAAAATGTTCCGATGAAGATAGGAAAGAATTTCAACACTTGTTTTATTTAAATTCCCCCACAATTGAAAACAACATTATTTCTGAGCTCGAGCTGTGGAAAATTTTGTTTGTTAAAATATGTAAACTCTTGTTATAAAAACATGTTACTTATGTAAATAAGTCTGTAGGTAAAACTCCTTAAACAAGCAGATGAAATATTTTATTTGTAATAGGTAGCTATTCAATTTTGTTTCAGTAGAACATTTAATCTCATATAACGTCATATATTATAATTTTTGCAATGTAGTTTGTATGTATAATGTTAATAAGTTATTATAATTTAAGACAACTTCTTAGGGGTTGAGTTGACAGAGCCCCCCTCAAGTTTGTAATTACTTGATAAAATCATATCCCCCACCCAAAGACAAAAACCTAAATGTAATAACAAGTAATACCGCAATGACGGCTCGTAACTTGGATGACAAGACGATCGCACACTTCTGCGTAAAATTGAAAGAAAGGATAAATTTCAATTTTATTTTAAATGCATGGACATTTTATTGTTCAATTGGTTATCATTAAAATTGGGAAAAAATAAAATACAAATTTAATTTATTTCACTATTAATTTTGAACGTATCATGTGTGCGACGCAGTTATAGGTTCATGGGAGTACAATACGATTACAGGATCCAATACGCTCATACCTATGCACAAAGTGGCAAATGTGTGTAAAGGCGGCCGCCCGTATAAGGACGGAACGCGACGTCGTCCGAATCATAAATCAAAATATACGAGAATTCAAATACACAGCAATGCACTCATCGTGTGTGTGCGGACAAATCTAACCAGCGATCGTATGCTAGCATTTGAACGGCGATCATACCAACAATAATAAAATATAATGATTATTAATATTAATATAATAATATACTATCAAGAATAATGGGTTTTAATCGGTCTTTTCAATTTACACGCTCGCAGAGAGCATTATATCTGACGATAACATATTTAAAGATAAGAACGGATAATCCATAAATAGGTACCTATGAGTTATGACAGCAATATCACAGACTTATCGGCTGGTTATACGCTTGGCGTTTCGTAGGGATTCGGATGCCCTCGTTTTTATTTAATTGACAAGATCGTCCAATATTTTAAACATCTGCTTTTATATGGACCTTCACACACGCCGTTGAGACGCGCGGCATGGTTGTGTCCTACTCGTTACGAACGTACCGTATCGCATATTTAATTTTTGAGCGTCCGGTAGCTAAAATTAAACGTTTTTTCCCCAATGTATTTTAAATGCATTTTACTTATCTGCTTACACGCCACGATTGTGCCGCGCATTTCTCCAGTTATTCATTTTTTCTCTGCCGTAGTCAGTTCTGTAGCCGAGGGGAGCACTGGGAGCTCGTGCCCCCCTTCCGAAACCCTTATTTCCGTAATACTGCAGTTTACATAAATTTGTTATACTAATAAAATATATCATTAGTAGACTATTTTAAGAAATCGTATTATATAATATATTGTTTTATATTATTATGTATAATATAAAATAATAATATTATATAATATTCTCTTATTATGAGGCCACAAACTTTGTTTTAATTTTACGTTGTAAGACTAAGGAAATATAAATAATAGGTGATAATGGAATAAGGGAGTAATAAAATAACAGGTTATAAGTATTCTTGCTTAATAAAAACTAGATAAAAATGATGAACATAATTGGCTTGATGAGTGGACTACCGACTACTGTTGTAGATGAGAAGTTAGGAAGGTAGGATATAGAGGAGAATTTAATGTAAATCTATAAGCAAAGATTAATCATTGCTAACGAAAAACGATTCTGAATAGAGCTCGGTTAAAAATATTGCTTTTTAAACAATATATACCTATGGCTATATGCCTATACGAGGGTGTACCCAAAAGAAACCGAACTGATGTTGTGTGGGACAGAGTTTTAGTAGTACCGATTTTTTTCCGGTAGGGGCGTATAAATATACTTCTCAACATTCAATATGCCAACGGCCGTCATCGTGGAAGGTTGTGTTACGTTGGTGTGATATTTTTTTTAAAAGTTATTTTTCGTACTCATCGTTTTTTTAATAGCTGATTTGCGTGAACAGCGCGCGGCTGTCAAGTTTTGCTTCCTGCTCGGGAAAACAGGCACAGAAACCCTTGAGATGTTGAAAACAGCTTACAAAGGTGATGCTTTAGGGAAAACTCAAGTATTTGAGTGGTTTTCCCGTTACAAAAGTAGTGAAATGTCGATAGACGACCAAGCTCGCTCTGGTTGTCCTTCGACGGCGCGAACCGACGAAAATGTAGAAAAAAATTCACAAAATTATCCTGGAAGATCGACGGCAAACCATCGAAGAAGTAGTGGAGAGATCTGGTATGACATGGAGTTCAGTTCAGAGAATTTTAAGTGAAGATTTGGGGATGAGACGGGTGGCTGCACAATTTGTTTCTCGACTGCTAATTGAGCAGCAAAAACAAGGCCGCGTGGAATCATGCTCTTCTTTGAAAGAAGAATACCAAAATGACCCAAACTTCTTTTCCAAGGTCATTACAGGTGACGAATCATGGTGCTATGGATATGAGCCTGAAATCAAGCAACAATCGAGCCAATGGAACTCCAGCATCGCCTCGCCCTAAAAATGCTCGTCAAGTGAGGTCAAACATTAAGACAATGCTCATTTGTTTTTTTGATGTGAGAAGAGTCGTCCATTCGGAGTTTGTTCCACCTGGTCAGACAGTTAACCAGGCATTTTACCTAGAGGTGTTAAAAAGATTACGCAACAGTTTGAGGCGAAAANCGGCGGTTTTTGACCAAAAATGATATGACCACTGTGTCCCATCCACCCTATTCACCCGACCTGTCTCCCTGCGACTTCTTTTTATTCCCTAGAATGAAAAGGAACATGAAAGGAAAGCGTTTCGCGGACATTGATGAAGTTAAAAAAAAAAACGACGGAGGCGTTGGCAGGCAGCACAAAAGATAAGTTTAAAAAGTGCTTCGAAAATTGGAACAAAAGATTGAACAAGTGTATTAACTCTAACGGAGAGTACTTTGATGGAGATAAATGTTTTTTGTAAAAAAATTAAATAAATAACTTTGTATAAAAATAGTTCGGTTTTTTTTGGGTACGCTCTCGTATGTCATATTATGACGGCTTAGATTTCTAGGTGCACTCAAAATGCATTTGTTTTTCCCTGTTACCTGCTAAATTAGTTGTTAATTTTTCATCAAAATGAATAATGAATATTTTATTAATGAATTCTCAAAAGAAGAAGCTACATGGAATATTAGTAAGTTGTTGATATATTCTATACAGAATACATACTTGGCTACTTAATACGTGTGTAATATAATTTTATGAATTAGTAATTACTGATAATTATTATACAGGTAGGTACCTATTATAATATTATATATTTATTTACTTAGTGGCGTATTTTCGGGAGGAGGGGTTTCCAGGTTTCGGGACACCCCCAGAAGTAAAAAAAAATGTACTAGGAAAATTTTTACGTGTTATCAATGTGTTCTTACTGTTCTTATATAATAAATTTGAAATCCACAACGGTTACAGGAGTGCTGAATATTAGTATTCAACGTAGCAAGCCCGTACACAAGGGGGATAACCTCCCCCCTGAGATTTTTAAAGTAGGTATATATTTATAATATAATAAAGACTAACAAGTTCATGTATTAAAAATATTTTTAACCTCACCCCCCCCCCCGAAAATTAATCCTGAATATGTGCTTGTATTGTAGCTAGTAGTTATTTGGCTCGTATAATTGTCTGCGCGTTTTCGAAACGCAATCGTACGCGTCCGTGTTTTCGTTCATGTTTTTCAAATCACGACGTCCGATTGTGTACGAATTGCGTTTGCTCAGATTCCGCGTAAACATGGTAGTCGGCTTTCGCCTTTCACTTTTAGCATCTATATTCTGTACGATAACCGGATAACGTGAGTACGTGATACTGATACAATAAAATTACTATGGGCATTGGTAATTTAAAAGCCGGATCATAAAAAAATGGCAGTTCCTAATCAATACATCAAGCTTTTCTTCGGAAATCGGCCGAAATGCATGTTTCGATATTAGATTACTCATGTTTTGATGTATTTTTAAGCCAATGGGGAGGGATATAACCCCTTACCTCTTTCCTTTTGCGCACGCCACTGTATAGATAAATGTATGAGAAACGTTGATATAAATTGCCAAAATTTTCTAATTAGACAAAAAAATTTTATTTACATTTTACGGAAAAAAACTAAGAAAACATGAAAATGTAATATTTTAGACATTTATTATAAACAATAAAAGAACAAGTGAAACTGCTGTTGCTGTAGCACTATAATATTACAAATTATTAATTATATGACTGGCGAGAATAGGTTTTTATTCTTATTGCAGATCACAGACTTCTATCCAAAGTTCAAAATGGGAATGGTTTATGACGGTCGGCTTACTGACGTGATTCTCTCCCGACCTCTAATAATTTCACTGCCAATCTAATTACGATTATAATTATTTCTCAAATATTGGTTTTACGTAAGCAATGGTTTATCGTTGCTTACAGATATACATTAAATTACCTATAACAAAGACTGTACCCATCTCCATTATCCTAAGACGTCTTTTTTTCTATTGTATTGTCTATCAAACATACAAAGTCAATAACATGAGATATATATGTTTTTTAAAGATATTTTTAAAAAACGTCCTAGGATAATGGGGACGGATGCTTCTGCTGTTATAAATAATTTAATGTATACCTGTAAGCAACGATAAACTATTACTTACGAAAAAACGATTCTGAGCGGAGTTCAGTTGATAGTGATGCATTGTTGACAATATATATGCCATTTTTTATTAAAATAATTAAATAGGATCTATATATTTTCTTTAATAATACTTGTTTAATATTGTACCGATTTCCCCGGTTTTCATACGTTTATCCCGATTTTCCTATGTTTTTTTCTCAGTTTTTCACATTTACTGAAAACATTCTGGAGAAAATTTAAAAACTCTAAAGTACCTTTCTAGTGAAACTTCCATTCAGAAACATTGCTACCATTAAAAGTTGGAGCATTGTTTTCGTATTTGATGAGAAAACTCTTAAGAAAATCGAATAAATTTACCGTTCTAAAGTACCTCCTTACGCCGATTTCCTTTCATAAAAGGTGCTACACGTAGAAATCCGAGCAAGTCTTCTGGTAGAAAAGTTGCTTACAGATAAAAAAAAAAAAGTAAACACTTTTGTAAAACCATCTAAGCTTCTTCGCTCCACTTAGAATTTAAAAAGACTGCCCCTAATTCAAATTTCACAAAACATTTTTTAGAAAATAACCATAATATAAGTACTGATAATAATATAGATTTAGAAATATTAAATGCCCAAAACAACATTTATATTAATTCAGTTTTAGAAGAAATATGCAATTTACATAATGAAATAAAGAAAAAAATTGTAATAATATTTTAAATGTAGGTACAAATCGATTTTAAAAATAATATCTTATATCAATACATTTTAGATTACAAATAATAACTAAATAATTTATATTTCTTAACATATCTATGTCTAATAATAACTAATTATAAATAATCTCTCATATTAAAATAAATTATTTCTACATTTTATATAAAACGACCAATTTGTATAATTTTTTTTATGTATTCTTTTATTTAATTTTTTATATTTAGTCACGTTTTACATTTTGTCTCTGATATCACATATATCATCACCTGATGATGAATTTTGAATTCGAAACCGGTCGTATAATACACTTATCATAATTTTCCAGGTGAAACATTCATTAATTAATTAATTTTATTTTTATGTATACATTTTTTATATATATATATATTTATTTACTACAGTTATTTACGAGTATTAATCATTTTAGTAATTTTGCTTTTACCTTATTATTTTATTATTAATTTTATTAATGATAAATAGGTACTTCATTGTAGGAAATAGGAATACAGTCATATAATATTGTGCTAAGTTAACTTACATATAGTATTTAATATATTAACAAGAAGGTAAATATTATTGAAAAATACAATGCCTCCCTGGATTTTCAAAAATGAACGTTCTTGATTAAACAGTACACTGCCGTTTTTTTTTAAAACATTTTTCATTTTTTTTTTTTTGGTCTGACACTTGGTTATTATATTTTCAAAAAACAAAAATCTTTCTAGTTTTTAAATAAAATTGTATAATGTATTTCTAATTCATAGTTCATATTCATGATCTGTACAGCTAATTTTAGACCCAATTTGTTGACCTCAGAAGTAGAGGCCACTTATTCACACCGACAACTACACTAATGAAACTTGTTTATAGCTTGAAAACAGCCATAAATCCAGTGCCGCAACAAGGTGTGCAATGCACACTGACCTCCTGTTCTAAGGGGCCCCCAAAACTAGAAATTACAATTGAAAATTATCTGTTTCAAATATTTTTGACTTCTTCGTAGCTCATGCCACGAATATTTTTCGATTTTATGTTGTTGCTTTTCAACTAAATTTATTATAGACATAAGTATTAAGTACGATATATGATAATAAAATAGCAGTAACCTACCAAAATGTCTATTAATAAGATGGTTTTAGAATAAACGGGCACAGATACGATACAATTTTTATTTGATATTTGAATATTGTATCTAAAATATTACGAAGTACTGATATTTCATTAGAAAATGCTTCTATGCTTCTACATAAAGTTATTCAAAATATGCAACATTTGTGATGAAAAAATGTTGTCAAACTAGGGGTCACGGGTTTGAAAAAAAATAGGGTAAAAACAAATGCATATTAAGTGTACCTAGAGACCTAGCTATCGCTTCCTCAGACGATTATAATCGAAAAATACCCTTCAATTTTTTGTGCAAACTTTTCTACCAGAAATCTTGCTCTTATGTATCAAGTGCAGCTTATTTTCTAAAAAGAAATTTTATTCAACAATTTGCAACGATGTTTTTAAAATTTGCATCTTAATATTTTTCCCAGGAGAACGGTTTTCTCTCTGGGGCCACCCCCTACATTGCCGCATTAATTCCAAACCGATGCCAAAATGTGACTTTTTTTGTGACGAAATTGAATGACTTATCATACTCAAGTTGTAACAGTATCTTCTATACTGGTACAAAAACGAAATATAATTCATATTTGTATGCATCTACATCAGAGTTTCCCAACCTTTTTACCACCACTTTGGACCATTTCGATTATTTTTAATAGGTCGCGGACTATTATAATTGAAGGGCTCCCTGTAACAACCAGATAAGTCCAATTTTTAATACTGTTCAGGAGAAACAAAATTGTAAATAATAATTATTTTGATAATAAAGGAAACAATGTCTTTTTCACTACTAACATTTTATACACGTATAATTACAATTTATTTGTTAAACATAATAATTTTAAACAAGTATACCAACCTAAATATATATATACAATTAACAATATGTGGATTTACATAAATGTAAAATAGTAAAAAAAAATTTAGGAACATAGTTCCTAGTATTTCCAAGTATTCAAAGCTTGTAATTGCTACAAGTATCTCCTTGTATGTTCATAGACTGCCTTGTTACTAATGTGTAAATTTCTGTACAGTCTATTATGATTCGACAGTTTAAAAAAAGCTTAAAACAATTAGATAAATATGTTTGGTTTTTGTGTCTAGTAGGAATTTTAATCATACACTGTAAGAACAGTGATTCAATTTATTACAATGTTAATGCCCTTACTACACTAGAATCTTGTCAACAAATCAAAATGTGGAAAATTATCAGTAATAAGTTATACTAATTCACTATATTTTAAACTTGTGTAGAGTTAAATAATAAATATATGCTTTATGCTCTTACCTCTTGTTATTGTTATAGTTTTAAACTTAACGTTATTTTACTTAAAAGTTAAAATTTTAAAACACATATTGTAATAAAAATTAAAAAGTATATAATTTTGTATGGATAAAATTAGTTTAGATCCAAAACAAAATTGTTGATAATACTGATAAGAAATATGTCATCGCTATATGCCCGTATAAGCAAACGCCTGATAAGGACAAGTCGTCGGACCTAGTCTACTAAGACCGTGGTTATGACACGTTGACACATTCGACTATTGTGGTTATGGTGTGGCGTCCTCTTGGTTCTTAACAATTAATCTGTTATTTTTAATAATATTATCATATTTTTATGTTTTATACAAGAATTTTTGGTTTTAAATAAGTAATAACAAAATCAAGAATAATAGTCAATACTCTATAGGTAATTAATTTTAATATTTAATTTTTAATTTAATAGTTAATTATATAACACATGATTTTAATTATAATTTATTGATTGTGACTAGCATATATATTGTGGTTTTGTAATTAATTTACACAGGTAATTGCCATTTTATACCATATTTATAATTATACATTTGTATGATGGATGATGGTATACCTCAGTATTTACCTGCAATTGTATTAGACATCATATTCTCAAACTTGGAACCACATGACTTACTTAGCTGTATGTTAGTCTGTCAAAATTGGTACCAAATACTTAATAATGACAAAGCAGTACCATGGAGATTGATGTGTCAGCGTAAAATATCCCAAAAAATTTTGAAATCAGAACTTTTGTCAAATCTCAACAGTCCTAAAGCGAAGTTACGTGCTTTATACCATGCATGGAATCCATTAGATTGTTCTGATCATATTATGATTGAGCAAAATGGATTTACATTACATCGAAATCTATTTCCACAGAGACCGAATATGGTTAGAACAAAAATTGGTTATATGAATGGTAAACACGTATGGGAAATAACATGGATTAAACCACCACGTAATATTCTCTAATTTAAGTTTAACTTAAAATAAGTTACTATTAATACACCTAAAATTTGTTTATTTAGGTACAGTAGCAATGGTTGGAGTGTCAACACAGGGTGAACCAATACATCAGTGTGATTATGTGCCTTTGTTGGGAATCGACAAGTATAGTTGGGGTTGGAATCTAAGTAATAATGTTTTGCTGCATAATGGAATAAAACAAGGCAGTTATCCATCAATAAAGAATACTTCAAATTCTATAAGTGGTGAAAAAATAAAACTAGTATTAGACTGTGAAAATGGTGTTTTGCACTTTGAAAAAAGTAATGAATTTTTAGGTATTGCTTTTAAAAATTTACCTAAACTTAAATTATATCCTACAGTGGGAACTATTTTTGGTAGTTCAAAAGTATCAGTTGTATATATTGGCAAATCTTAGTATGGTTAACTCTCATGTAAACATTTTCCCCAGTAATTTTTTAACACTTTATATATCATGTAGTTTAATGTTTGATTACAAGACATTGTGTTCTAACCTCCATCAAATTTATCAAGTATCAATAATTTGTTTGTTCATTTTGGTTAAATTTTGTAAGTCTTAGTTAAAGATCCATATTTATTTATTATTTCTAAATGATCATTAAAATTTTCAGAAAAAAACTACAGTATGGCTATATTAAAATTTTTAGATAATAATAAAATAAAGTTAATTTTTTTATTAAAAAAAATGTTTTATTCAAAAATAAATATTTAATAGTTCTCATCCCTGTAAGTAATATAAAAAAAAAAAATCAGAATTGAATTATGTTCATTATCTCCAGAGATATTCAAGGGGTTTATCTTCCTGGGACAGCTTGTATATACTTTTAAGATTGAATAGGATTTGGCATTAGAGTTTAATATATTTCAAGTATTATAATTTTAATCTAAAGTTCATTTTTATAATTTTTAGTAAATTTTGTACAAATAACTCAGACAATTAATTTTATAATAATTACTGTAAATACTAGTAGTTAAAACTTAATATAATTGTATTATCAAAACTGAATCTTTCATCCTTTAGGGATATTAATTTTAAAATGTATAACAAACATACTTTGTGTTTACTAGTTTATGTAAAACATTGTATATAACACATGTTTATAATTTAGTATAAAATAATTAATATTATTCTTATATATTTTTATTCTATCTCTATAGTTTTAATCCATACATTCAATTTTCTTTTTTTTTTATTCGGTATGTAATAAGTAATAACATAAAGATGTAACCACTTAAAGTCAAATTGTTTTTATTTTGTTTAAATTACCTATTCAATAATTTTAAAACTTCATTAGTATTTAAAATTCAAATTGTAAAACAATAAGTACAATGTACCTAGTGTTTTATTTTTTGAACAGTTTAATTGACATTATGTAATCCTACCTTTTCAGTTAATTTTTTTAATATTGATTGAATAAAATTATTATGTTAAATAATGGCCCTATTTTTGTGTCTAATATGAAATCAATTTAATATAATAATCACTTGTTTAAAGAACGCTGTTAGTTAGGTTAGGAATTGTAGTAATGGTTTATCAAATTACTGTCAAATGTTTTAGGAATTTGAATAACCATAACACACTTGAATAATGTAATATTATTTATATAATTATAATATATTTAAACACTATAGCTATAATACTATACATAAGTGCATAATCATGTGTTTTTAAAATAAAAATAATTTGTATAATATTAAATTGCATTTTTATTTATACAATCCTGATTTATTTGTCCTGTTATTATATAATAAGAATTACACTAACAATGCTTAATAAAATATGTTGATTTGATTGTAACAAAACAAAAATATCTATCTGAATTTGTAATATCAAAGTTTAAAGGAATGCTTTAAATATTGATCACTTGAACATCAATGTTATTTATGAGTAACATTTTCAGGTTGTTGCAATTAAAAAACAAAATGATATGGTGGAAAAATAACAAATATTGTACACTCAGTAAAAGTAAAATTACAATTAGTCCTACTTAATAAATTTACTCCACAAGAAAGTCAATCAATGTTTTTTTCACATGTAATTCCTCACATTACCAATCAACTTTCCTTTGAAATTTAAAACCTCTCTAAAGTACTACTCCAGTCAGATTTACTTTCAGAAAAAGTACTATCGCTGTAAATTGGATCAAAATTTCTGGTAGAAAAGATGTTCACAGGAAAATAAAAGGCCGTATTATTTTTTTACTGATACCTATATTTCACATATTTTTCTGGTTTTTCCAGTTTATTTGGAATATATGTAAGGAATCCACATGTTAGGTTAGGTAAGGTTTAAAATGTTTTAATGTATTTTAGTAGATACCAATTTCAATTTGATTTTTATTCAAAATTAAAAGAAGTTGTATTCTAAAACAATAAGACCCATCACATTTGCCAGTATGACTGATTTTTGTATCTACTGATAAGTAATAATATATTGTTATAAACTTAACTTACTTTATTTAATGATATTAAAGTTAAAAAAAAAATATTTTTAAATTTAAGAAATTAAATTAATAGTATAGTCTTTTTGAATTTATAGAACCTGATTAGTATTCTTGTTATTAGTTATTAATGTTTGTATTTTATATTAAACTATATTTTTATCAATGAGACATTATGTTTCTAAATGCCCAAAGAAGTATACAAAACTGTTACACTAGGTATAAAGTATTAACTAGGATCGAAAATAGACATCAACTTTATAAACCAACAGAAAATAGTGCACAACTAATTTTCATGTAAACTAATAATAAAACAATTTCTGTGATTTAATATAATTTATTATTATATTGGACATTTGAATTAATAATTACATTTATTAATAGAATAATTTCTTGTACTTCATTTGCTTTAAATTTATTATTATGTAGAAGTTTATTTTTTAAAAAATTGATTGTTTCGTGTTGGGAATAGTTGGATGTATATACATTTTTGATGTCAAGCGAAATCATTTTATAACCTGGCTCAATAATAATTTTATCAATAAAATCATATGTGTTTTTTATAGATGTATTTTATACAGTATTCATGTTTAATTTTTCTTTTATGAGAAAGTCCAAATATTTAGCAAGGTTATAAATTAAAACAGTTTTAAAGTTAATTAATGGACAAATCAGATTATAAATATACTCAATTTTGTAATCAGATTTTAATAGTATTCTTTTGAATTTGTTATCAGTTTATAAATTTGTTCAGTGTAAATGATAACAATAGCATTAGATTTCATCTACTGGAACTATTTTTGAATTATTTGTTTTAATTTATTCACTATGTTGTTAATAATTGTATTTTGGTGTTCAACTATACTATTGTTTTAATATTTTATCAGGCTAATTTTTGTAGTTTTTATTGGTGCTATTTATTAAGTTCCATTTTATTTTATTTTAAAATTTTATATAATTTTCAACAGATTCACATTGTATTTATTGTCTTTATTTAATCAATTGTTTTCAGCTTTATTGAAAATTATGGAAGTTAGTAACTTGTGTTTGAAAATAATGCTAATTTTTTAAGTTGTAATTTGTGTACATTTTATGCTACTAAAATATTAATTTTATCATTAACTTTATGCTATTTTCCAATTTTCTTATGTAGTAATTTTTGTTAGATGTGATTTTTAAATTGTGAAATCTGTAAGTGGTTTAAATTTTGGGATAAAATTGTTTCTAAATTATTAATTTCTTCTACTGTTGTGTGTTTTTTGCTGAATAAAAGTTTTATTTTAGAGTTCAACCATATTGTCTATGTTCTTTCTTGGCTTTGATTGCAGCTTCAGATGAACATCTGATATATATATATATATATATACATTGATGTATTTTAGAACGACTTTCAATTTTTTACAAGTTTTATTGAAGTAGATATTCATATTGGTATTCATTAATTTCATGTTTAAATATTGTTATAAATATGTTTAAATATTCAGTCCTGTTCATTAATTGAGTTGGAAAATTGGATTGGCCTACCATAATAAATAATAAAATAATAAAGTAAAAACAAAATTGTTAAAATGGCTAATACTTGTAAATAGATATATAAATAAAAAATGAATTTATAGAAATAAAAATGTTGACTGTGATATACCCGATGATGAATTTTGAATTTGAAACTGGTTGCATAATATACTTTTATAATACTCCAGGGGGCATTAATTAATTTTTTTTTTATTTATATATTTATTAATATAATTGTGAATTGTTATAAAAGTGTCAACAACTACAGAAAAAAAAGGGAGGGAAAAATATGAAACAGCTAAAGTTAGCTATGTCATTAAGTTATTTTGAGAAATATAATAGATATTCTTCATTGAAAAATATGATGCATTATAATAATTATTTCCCCTAATAAAATAATATTTCACCAGCCACTATTTACCACTAATGTTGTAGTATTAAAAATAAATTATACATAATAAATAATAATATTATATTTTCAATTCTGTTATTGTGGAAGGCTTTTAATTAAAAAAGGTTTTATATCACACAAAAAAAAACAGTAGATGTATTATTAAGATTCTTAAATATTCTTGTTTAATATGTCTATGTACATGATATGCCAGCTTATGTGCACTAAACAGTGCAAAAGGCAGATTTTATATGGGAGGGGGTGTGAGTCACTGAGTTAATTAAAAATATAAATATATTATACTATAAAAGATCTATTTTAGGGGAAGAGGGGTTGGCCATTTCATTTAATATTTTATCTGATGCGATATTACATATTACAGTAACTTAGAAGTACTAATACATTTAAATGATCCTGTATGACAAAGAGTTTAATAAATAAAATAAAATAAATATAATTTACCTCCTTCATACTATTTTTGATATAGATATTGACATCACTGTGTCATTATATTATAATTTAGTTGGAAAATATTCACAGAATACTAAAAAAACAAATAAAAATAACTTTATTTTTAATAATATTTGATACTTTGTATTCAATTGTTAATAATATTGAATTTTTTTATTCTATTAAATTTTTAATTTGTAATCTAAATAGTAACAAATAGATATGAATTGATAATATTTTTACAATAAAATAATAATTTAAATTTATTGGTTATTACTTAAACAGGGACATGTACTTTACATAATTTATAGTACACGTGACACATATTGTAAGCCAGTCTTTATAAATGTTCTGTGCTTAACAAACTCCTAGTTTTACACTATATGAGCTGGATTCACAATTTTCTATAAAGAAAATAAATGTATTAAAATTACATTAAATCTGTTCAAAATTAATTTTTTTAGTCCTTATTTTACTTCATTCATTATCTATTAACTATTTACCTAATCTAAATATATTTTCCTTCAGCACTACCAGAAACTACCAAGTGCTGGGCTATAAATTAATGTGGTTTGATTTCTGATATTATTATCATATTCTCTAAGGATTGGTGCACCTGATAGAAATATTAAAAAAAAAAAATTAATTTAAAATATTAAATAAAATGAATGGGTATTATTACTGTTATTGTAGCAATACCAATAATAACAATAATATTCAGATTTTCAACCTCTTTACATATCCTACTTCTTGTCCTGCATCTTTGGTTACCTTAACCTAGTAGTGAACAACTTTTTTTTTACAGAAGGCAATAAAAGTAACAATAATTCTTGATAGGCCAAAAATGTAAACTTTTACTTTTAAGTTAATAAGATATATATTTTATTGTAGGTTCATCTTAATGTAGGTACAGTGATATATTTAATTATTTATTATATTTTGATTGTTATAAATGAGAAAAAAATTTTAATGTGAGTATTAATTTTTAAAAATTGAGGTTATTTTTTTTCAATTTTGATTTAATAATACTTTGGTGGGCTGATTAATAAATGATTACAAGGGGATTGAGCTTGCTGGCTGTAGTTGATTACCACTACCCAACTAATTTGAAAGTTGGTTTCAAGGTCTTAATTTAAATAAATCCATTCTAGTAAACCAATTGTCATATTTATAATACTGAATTAACATATAACAGACATTGATAGACAATAAGCTATTAAATTTGTCAAATTATTGTGGGACACTGTATAAATATATTTTTTTTTTGCATATGATCAATATAAATTGTAGATTTTATAATTTACTAAAAAAAATTACATCAGACTCTTTAAAATGTATAAATATTCTATCTTAACAAATGAAAATTACTCACTTTTAGTGGTGTTTTATTGTCTTAATTAAGGCAATAAAATAGAATGTTATAAGAATTTTTTTGAGGATTTGACCTAAAATAACAAATAATAAATCGTTTGAATAAATTTCAAATTAATTATGACCCTAAAAATGTACATGTAAGTAAATAGTAAACAAAATATATTAAAACAAATTATATACATCTTGAAAACAGCATCAATTTTAACATATTTTTGAAAAATGTCAGGCAATATACAGACATTTTTTAGTGTGGACTTGATGGTCTAAATTAAATCTAGACATTTAGCTTACAAATTACTTAATTATTAAATTGACTGTCCAGAACTCTTGAATTAAATACTTTTAAATGACCCTAGTGTTATAATTGGTGAATCTCAAACATTCTATACAAAAATCCACAAACAGAATTATGGTGTTTTTGCTCCAATTAACTACAAGGAATCCATTAAAATATATTGATTTCTTCTATAATGAGTCAACTAAGTTAAAATGTTTACTGTAAAATACTCGGTGGTTACTCTAAAACTTTTTCCCTATTCTTAAATAATTGTCTTTCATATATTTTTATATCTTTTACTTCATTAGTCTGATAAATTAGTTTAATAACTATGTAGTATGCAAATACTATGTTATTGTATTTTGTTTTGTGATAACTGTACTAAGCCCATTAAGGGCGTTTATTATCAATAAATATAAAATATAAAATATATAATTAATTATATTGTCATGAAAAAAAAATACATACAATATATATTGAAGCACAAACACAGGTTATAATGACAAACAATGCTACTTATACGAGTTTGGTTAAATTATAATCACTTGTAAGTGGATAAATAGTTTACAGGTTTGTAAATAATACAGAACGTTTGTACAACCCAGCCAAGAGCGCCATATTTGATGCCCGCTCTACAGCGTCTAGGGATTCTTATATCCCCTTAGGAACTGACGATAACGGACACCTATAAATAATGGACAACGTTTTGGTCATTGTGAGTGTCTAAAAGGAAATAGTTTATACTTACTATTCTTTGAGTCAGCGAGAGGGTAAGTATGTCCGATATCGTGAGTAGTGAGGGAGTGAAAGTGGTAGTAAAGTGTTGGGCTGTCATGAAGATAAGAGAAGATAAGATGAGTTATTTTGTTAATAACTACGGATTAGGTAAAATATAGAGGGGAATATAATTTATATCGAAATGCAAGGATAAATCATAACAAACTATTAGTGGTATACATAGGGGCATAATAGGCCCCCATCGGCTTAAAAATTCAACAAAATTTTAGTAATTTTATATCGAAATGCTTAAATTTCAGCCAAGTTACGAGGAAAAACTTGATGCATTGATTAGATATTATCTAGATAAGATTTAGCTTTACCAATATCCATAGTCGAGTTGGATAGAGAAGACGATTTTATTCTTTATTAAATTAGTTGCATCAAAATTCGTCACATCAAGAACATAAACCAAAAAATTTCATTAAAACGAATTTAAAAAAAAAAAAATCAAAATTTTAATCAACACACTCCAAGTACGTATTTATTTTAATTTTAATAATATTAATACACATATAAATATATGCATAGTAAAATCAAAGTTTATTATATTACATTAACTGACCTGGCAATGCTTTGCTATTGCTAGATAATAGTAGTTTTCTTGTCCACGATAATCAAATTATCATCTGTATCACCAAGGTAACCCACGAATAAACAAAAATTAATAAATGTACACAAACAATTAGATATTCGTATCAAAAATACATAAAAACTCCTATATAAAGCCGGATCCACACCAGATGCGCAAAACGTTTTGCAACGTTACTACTATGTTCGGCGCGTTTGGTGTAGACCTAGTCCGCGCATGAAAACGCATGTTCGTGCATGTTGCAAGTTTGTTTTAAAATTATGGGAAATGCGCGGTGTTCGGTGCGTTTTCCTTATCTGGTTTAGACGGGAAATTGTCAGTGTTGTATTGTTGCTGAAATAGTCTATACACAATTGTTTATTCTTTTATATTTTTATATAAATTAAATAGAATAAAATTAATAATAAAATAAAATAAAGTTTATAATAATAATGAGCTGCAATTCAGAAAATGCTTGGGATCTAGATAAAGTAATTCAACTAACTGAGTCCTATCGTGAAAAACCTGTTCTATGGAACCAAAAAGAAAAATCTTACTTCAACAACATAAAAAATAAATAATACATGGGTTGAACTATCAAATTTATATTCGTGTGATATCGACACAATAAAAGGGAAGATTAACTCTTTATTGTCGTCTTTTCGAAGAGAAAATGCGTTAAAAACCAAGATGAAGACATTAACTGGCAAAGGTACAGTAGAAGTATACATAGGATCTTGGTTCGCATATGCAAGTTTCTCTTCAGTCTTCAGAAGACATATGACAAAAGTTTTTGAAGTGGCTCGGTGTCCAGAAGTGTAAAATCACCTAGTAATTGTGTACCGCTATACATTTTTCGACTTTGTAGAACAGGAGTCACCTAAAATTGGCGTCGTTTACAATTTTTATTTTCTGTTTTTTTTTTTTTTAAGTAGGCTATGTGTAGCAATAAACGCAGCATTGGTGATTTGATTAGACATTATACAAGTGAGAGATATATATTATAAAAAAAATTGAAAACGAAACAATAGCGAACAACTGTATTTTTTGAACAGCACAAACACATTGACGAACATTGGAAAACATATGATCATATTGCAACTAACATTTCTACGTGCAGTTTGGACGCTTGTGCTCGCAAGAATGTTTCAGAAGATAAAATGTTGCAGCAATGTTACAGCAACGTTGCGCGAAGGTGCGCGTTTGGTGTGGACCCGGCTTAATGTACGAGATTAAGAATGGAACGTTAAAGACTATCATTTCTTCTAAGTTTGACCAAATCACACACATTGAACATTATCGCCTATCGGTTGAGTTGTTTCAAAGTATATAGCACTTAAACTGTACTCGTATTAACTAATTATGACTTTTATTTGTATAAGATAATATGTAATATTAAGCTCTAAAATAATTGTAAAAATTCGTTAGGCACGGATGACATGCCACCAGTAGACAACGGCGGCAGAGTCCACCACCACCTTGGCCCCCATTGAGGCGACAACCATATATAAGGAGACCAGAATCATCACCAGGAGTCGAGGAGCCGGAGAGTCGAAAAATAAGAACTTGAACTCAGAAGTCGAGACAGCTACACCACCACCGACGCACGAGACTGAGGAACACTGTCACCTTGACACCAACCCGTCCAGTCATTTCTTTAGTGTACTTATATCTTATAACTAAGTCTTGACTCGGGTCTGGTGTCACAGGTTTTTCACTAATAGATACAACTTGTCAACTGTGTTTTGTTAAAATTCTAATAAAAAACCATTTGTAGACCTAACACAAATGTCCATCTTCCCATCAAAAGGCCTGTATCAATAAAAATACAATTTCTCCCTTTAAATAGTGGACACCTCTGAATAGTAGACAAAATTTCAGTGGCCAAGAGTGTCCAGTATTTAGAGGTTTCACTGTATATTATGTAGAAGGTACTTCCAAATAAAGATAATTATACAAAGAGAAACTTACCAATAACATCTTCATAATTTTCAAGGAGATAAAAATTAAATATTTTCTTATTTCTATTTTATATTTAGCTGTGTAACCTACTCTATCTTATAAGTTATAATATAAAGTTTAAGCATAATTTTGTATTATTTTTACAGCATTTAATTTTAACAAATACTATAAAAAAAAAAAAAGCAATAAATTGATGTATGTCATCTAAAGAATTAATTCAGATTAAAAATAATAAATTATGCTCATTATCGATTCGTATTTATGGATACATCAATACTAAAATAGATTGTACTTTAGTAATAGGTACTTACTATGGGAATTTGGGAATGAATTGCTAGCTGTTTAATATAAATATTAACTTACCTAATTTGTAACTGTAGTTTTGACTAAAAAAGTTGTTTTAATATCAAACAGTTGTCTACTAATCAATAAATATGCAGATGAAAAAATGAAAGGAAAATAATAGTAGAAAATAAATTGTTAAAATCTAATTTAGGTGCAAAACTGACAAATTCTGTAGATTTTTAAAAAAAACAAAACACTTATTGATATCATGGCTAACTAGAAAACTTAAAGGATTGCAGAAGAAAATTTGGTGAGCATATTAAATGGTTAAATAATTAGAAAAATTTGAAAAGAAACCTAAAAACTCAACCATATATTAATAAATATCTACAAGCTAAAAAAACTAAACTATATTTTCTTATAGTAAATAAATATATAAATAAAAGAAAAATTATAATAATATTTTTATTGTTAAAAATAATAAACAGATACAACAACAAATTTGAACTTTTTGATGCCCCAAAAGCGTATCTTGTGATGGGTGCAGCAAGTTCAGTACAACATTTTAACATAACAATATTCAATTACATACTATTTAATACAACATACAATATAGAATAGAATAATGAAAGAAGAAAATACAATTTAAGGATATGTTTTTACGATATTATAATATAATGATTTAGATTAATATTTTAATTAAAATCATAATAGTCAACATTTATAATAGAAAGCCAGAACAAGTTTTAATTAATGCATAGCATGCATAGCATTAATGCATACATCTGCTGTAGCAAATGTAGAAAACATTTAGAAGAAAAATATGAAATAGAAAAAAATAAATCAAGAAATAAAGAAAACAGAAGAGCAAAAAATTTAAAAAGGACAACAGGAAAAACAAAAAAAGTCATATTGAATGAGAGAAATATTACAAATGGGAGTTGCCAGAAAGATGGTCCAAGAAGCAAATAATAAATTAAAAATTGTAATTAAAAAAAAAGATTTTATGAAAATCCACTTGGCTTAAGGAATGATACAGGCAGTTGAAACACTAAACAAAGAGTTACAAGTTAAAGAAGAAGCATCACCAACCATTCTTAAAAATAATAGAAAAAAGAAAAAAGTAACAACTCACTTTCTCCCCAAAAAATTGTGATACCTAAAGTATAAGCAATATCATTACATGTAAGTTAAATATTTTAAAAGATAAATATTAAAAGGAAGTTTCTATTGTTAATTTATTACAGAAAAAATATAATTTTATGTTTTTTATTTCAAATTGATTTGTATTTTTTTTATATACTTTCTATAGTCTATATTATGTATTACATTTTTAATGTTGTTAAGTATATTCACTATATTCACCAAAATACTATTCTCACTACTTTTTAGACATGTAGGCAATAGAAAGTCTGACATTGTATTTATTATGTGTGTGTGTGATTTTTAGAAATATATCTACACTATTTTATATTTCACATAACCCGGGTTGTGAATGCTTATTAATTTACGTTCAAAAACTGTACACATTTAACATTGTATTGTCAAAATTCCTGTAATAATTCATTACCAACATTAAACATCTTGAGTATAATAATTTAAAACTTGAACAAATTAAAAGTCAGTAGTTAACAACCAATACCTACCTACCTATATGAATATTGTTAAAATAAAGTGTGTATAAGTTTAAAACAATACACCCTATTTCACAAATTTCTTTAAGTACTTATAAAATAATAAATAGTAAACTTTGATAATATTAGTTACCCGTTTAGTTATTTGGTAAACTAATAAGAAGATGGTTTCATTCTGTTGCGACTTGTGAATAGTAATCCATTGTACAGTAAATACACAACTCATCAGAGATAAAAATTAAATAAGTATAGTTATAACTGTAATGACATTTTATAAAATTAATTTAAGAGTTAATACAAATTATAATAATGGTAAAATTTGCCTGTTATTGTTGGTAAAAGTTAATCTCGTGGGATATTACCAGAATACAATAAATTTAGCAATAGAGGGGTTAGGTCTAAAACAACAAAGTTAACATATAGTTTTCTGTAACGAAACATATTAAACCAATGACCAATCCTTAGATAATTTATTTACAGGAAATATAAAAAATGTGTAATAGCAAAACAGTGTAGATAGCTGCGATTATAAACGAGGTGGTTCCTCCAAGTATATATAACCACCAAAACATCGTTTAAGTAGCCATGTCCATCATAATCAAATGGGAGCAACTTCACATCACTCTGTTTTATGATTATTTCTGGACTTGTAATATTTTTGTGAATTTAATTTAATTTGGACTTAGAATATTTTTGATGTTTTGAATTATTGCACTTGTAATTTTTTTTGTGTGGAAATATTAATTATTTATATAACTCAAATTGGAGTAAAAATTATTGCAATGTTTTTCTTCTAAACCTACATCCTTACATTGGGCTCATTATAAAATTATAACCATTTGTCCCATTATTTCTAAATTTGCAACCCTAGCATTTCTAATTAAAATTAAAGAAAAAGTCATTTTTAACTTCTTAAATATAATAAGCTTTTAATAAAACTAAATGAATTTGATATTCAGATAAGTAGATATTTTTCAAATAAATAAACTAATGACTGTTAAAACTCATATATATATATAAATAATAAATAATACCTTCTATAAATTAACAATTAATAATAACTATAGCCACAATAATCTTCCTCAGCTAGATATAAAACTAAAAGACATTTCATAATTCCTGAAATTGTCAGATAAGCTGAATGAGGAAAAAAAGGAACAGGCTGAGCCTAAACTATAGGGGTATCTATTATACAAATTTTTGGATATTGCAAGTGCGAGATAAAAAGTAGGGAGCTATCCAAAAAAAACGATTAAAACCTACTAGAGAAAATACAATATTAAAATGCAAATACATTATATACACTTTATAAAAATAGTAATTTTGAATAAAATAAAAAACAAAACAAATATGTTTATTTTAAATATCAATTACCAACCTAATTCAGGAATGTAAATACATATGTATTTCACCGCCAAATTCAATAAGAATGTTTCAAATTGTTGAATAGTATGATGGTTTTAACTTAATTTAACTTATCTATCTAAATATAATTAAGTTAAAATAGTAATGTACCTATTGGTACATTCAAAAAATAGTAATATTTAAACACTCCAAAGTATTAATTGTGCATTTTTAATAATTAGGTAGTTAAGTATATTATACTTGTATACTTATATATATTAGGTATATTAAGTAAAGATGCCCAGTTGTATAAAAAAAAAAGATATAAAATAATAATTTATTCGCCAATACAAAATGTATTAAAGTAGGTATACTATTAATTTTAAGAAAATAATTTAAATAGATTATGCACATTGCAAGCCAAGACCAGATGGTATAATAATTTTAAATTTTTGAAAAAAACAACAGCATTGTAATCAATTTTTGATCAAGAAAGGGAATAGTAGGGATATTGGTATCAAGTATACAAATAAATACTAAAAATTGGGCTGAAAAAATTAAAATTTTGAAATAGGCGCAGGTCTATCACTTAAGTATAGGCCATTGCACCTATGCTATAAATAGTAAATTTCATATAATAAAATACCTCAACAGAAAAAGATAAATTGTAATTTAAGTTACCTATATTTAAATAATAATTTTTAATTGTCTTTTAGGTCATTTTATACACAGTAGTATTTATATATGGTTTTTTTTAAATATTCATCAGTCATCAGTTTCAGGGCCTTATAAGATCACTACAAACACAATATTTTTATTGAAAGACTTAAACAAGAAGGTAATATTTCATACTATGGGTGGGCAACTATTGTAAAAGACAAATTGGGAAGGGTAAGATATGGACAGAAATTTAATGTTTATTTGTGCACAATGATAAATCATTGTTAACAAATATAATTTTCTGAAAGGAGTTCAGTTATAAATGTTTTGTAAGGACCTAATACTTAAAATTTTTGTTAAAATTTGATATTATAATTCTTATAAAAATGTTTAAATTACATCCAATTTTTTTATTTTTAATCACAACGTACCAATTATAATGAGTTTCCTGTTAAATTTTTAAGCATTTCTGTTTGGTCAAACAATTTTATCAACTGAGTATCTGCAAAATAAAAATTACTCACATAATTAAAATATCTATAAATAGCTCAGATATTAAGACAATTTTACCATATCTAGGAAAATAAAATATAGCTTTTCTGTCCAAATTTCAAGTCTATGCATATTTTTAACTGAATCACAACAAAAAACAAAAATGAAAATAATACATAACATACAATATTTCATTTTTTACAACTATTATAAAAACTGATTAAAAAATCAAAAAGGATCTCTCTAAAGTACAACCCAGATAAAATTTATTTTAGAAAAGGTGCTACACTTGGAAATTGGAGCAAAATTAATTACTAGTAGAAAAGTTGTTAACAGAAAAATAAAATACACCATTGTAAAACCAATGTATTCTGCTCAGAATCTAAAATTGGTTACATAATTATATTAAAAAAAACAGTGAAATATAAGAATATTATTGATTCTGAAAAGAAATTAAGGCACTAGAGAGCAATAAACACAGTAAATTCTCTAATTAACAATATTAACACTAAAAATATTCTTAAAATATTTAATGAAAAGATGCATTTTTCTTGTTGTATTTATTGCAATAAAATATTATCATTGTTATATACATAATATTTAAATACAAATAGAGCTCAATATTTTAGTTTTATTTAAAATTTACCTTTGGTCATATATTTTATTTCTAAAATCTAAAATTAAAAAGTTAAAAATCTTATTTACAAAAATATAGAACAAAATAATATAATTTTTAATTTGTCGTATTAAGTTTTTTTAAAACTTGTTCAAGCTGTTGAATTGTGTAATTGAGTTGTTTACATTTAGCTACAACATCTTTTTTCGGAAATCCTTTGAATACCTTTTTATACTTCTTACCCTGCATAGAGAAACTTCCATCTCTTAATTTGGCTGAATATGCAGTTTTTTCAGAGATTGAATCAACAATTTGATTATCAGTTTCTTTATTGATACATGGAAAAGCTCTTGAATTTAATGATCCTGCTTGTAGTTCATTATTCAAAGGTTTATTCAGTACAGTGTCCATTATATTGTCTTCACATAATTTATTAATTTTTTGTTTAGATTTATTTATTTGGCGACTACTTCTCCTGACTATATTGATTCCACCAATATTCAATTTTGATTTTGAAGTTTGACTTTTTAAACCTTCATTACAATCAAATTCTGTATTATTCAATTTCGACTCTGCTTTACCTCCTGAAGTCAAATTTATTTCATCATTAAATGATTTTACTTCGTTTTCATCCAAATTAAAATTAACTTGGTTAATATTATCAATTGTCTTTTCAGTTTCTTCAATAGAATCATCACAGATTAACAAATCATCCAACACATCATTGAATTTACTTGGAAATGCATTTGACTTTGAAAATTCTGCTTGTAGATTGTCATTCAGAGGTTTACTCAGGACATTACCCAATTCACTGTCTAAAATAGGGCCAGATAAAGATTCCTTAGGTTCATTTAGTTTAGTGTTAGACTCTAAATAAAGTTCTTGCAGATTTTGTTCAGATATGTTTGTTGGTGTAGTATTTATTATATGGTCATCACATAATTTATTAAATTTTTGTTTAGCTTTATTTATTTGGCGAATACTTCTCCTGACTCCACATATTCCACTAGTATTCCATTTTGATTTTAAAGTTTGACATTTTGAACCTCTTTTACAGTTAAATTCTGTATGATTTAAGCTCAAATCTGCTTTAACATCAGAGTTAAAATTTATTTCATCATTAAACGATTTTACTTCTTCATCTAAATTTATATTAACTTGCTCAATAGTCTTTTCAGCTTTCTCAATAGATTTATTAGGGACTAAATCATCATAAACATCTGTGAATTTAATTGGAAATGTTTGTGTACAATTTTCCATTTCATTATATAAAACTTGGCCAGATAAAGTTTCCGCAGGTTTATTTAGTTCAGTGATAGATTCACAATTAGTTGCAGTATTAATTAAACTGTTTTCCCCAAGTTTGTTTAATTCTTTTTTGGCTTTCTTGCTTCGACTTCCATTTTTTCTTTTGCCTTTTTTAATTTTACCAGATTTCAAGTTTAAAGTTGAATCTTTTAAACCGTCATTAGAATTAGGTTCTGTATTATTTAAGTTCAAA